TTCCCTATGCAGAACGAGATTGAGAAGAGCAAGGACACTGTTTCCTCCTGCAAGGAATGACGACTACAATTTCTTCTTCCAGCTGACCATATAAAAGTTAAATGAGCTTTTTCCCCAGTAGCCATCTTAGAAGTCATAGTAATTGGTACAAGTTGGGTGCCTTGTTGAGGTTTGTGACCAGAAGGATTTTCCAAAACTTTGGGAAAAAAGACACTTAAAGGAAAAATGGGAATATTTTGAAGATGGTATGAAGTTTTGAATGCTTGCTGATAATACTCAGAGTCATCAAAAACTCTGAGCCTCATAAACACATGAAGTAATAACAATCTGCACCCAGTGACTTCCCTGTCCCATAGAGATTAGCAGAGATGAGGGACAGGCTCATCCAAGCAAGGAGGTACATTCACAACTCCATAGCTACAGCCACAAACTCAAGGGAATGGGCAGCACTGGAGATCATGCCCTGGTTCAGCTGAGCTCCTGGGAGCAAACACCAAACCACCTTTTCAAACAGCAGTCATCCTATCCCTCCCAGTGCCCTACACAAAGCCCAGGGGGAATAGGAGGAAAGCCATAAGAGCCCTGCACAGAGCTTCATGCCAAAGATCCTTGGGAGATAGTAGTCCTCCCTTCAAATCAGCAAGGTCTTCAGACAAGAAATTGGTAGTCTTTGTATGGTGGAAACCAGAAGAGAAGTCTCTTGCTCTCCAAAGCCTAGAGCTATCATTTAATGCTTTAAATAAAAGTCTTCTCAAAGCTACTCATTTGATTTTATTTTGCTTTGGTTATTCTGCAGCAAGTTTGACAACAAGGGCACTTTGCAGGACTGTGTGCATGCACTTGTAATTAAAGTCAACGGGAGTTATGAAACCTTTAAAACCAAGCCTGGGTGGCTCAAGCCAGTAGCCCAAAATTAGAAGCAGCATTTGAAAATGCAGGTCAATATTCTTTGTGTGTTTGTGTTACAGCATCACCTAGGGGCTGCAACTGAGATCAATGCCTACTGCTCCTGGAGCTTCCAGGGGTACAGACAGACTTGGATGCTTCCAAATGCTCAGGTGTGCTGTAGTCATTGTCACAGAGACTGTACTGAACCGGGCTCTAAGCATTTCGATGAGAAAGTTCATCTGGTAGATTTATATGTACATATACAAACACACACAACTATTTTATGCATTGTTTTTTGAGCAAGAACCACTAAAATACTGAACTGGAGGGCACAGCAGTTGTAGAACATACTTTGGATCAGAGCCACAGGAATGCTGCTGCTGTAAATTCCCCTACTCTAAAAACATTAAATAAGCCATGCAGCTATTTCATGATCATCTGAAAACTGAGATCCTCAAAAACGATGAAAATTGAACCCATGTGTGTCCTTAGTATAGTCTGGCACTCACACTGTTGCTGATTATAGGAATTCAATGTTTATAATTTGCATTCTTTCCCACACTTGCTTTTTTTTTCTGCACTGAAGTAAAAACTCACTTGGTCTTACCATAATACAATTTAGACTGTTGAGGGCAAGACTGCTCCTTTGTGAGAAAAACAAAATCCAAGCATGAGAGACCAATTCTTGTCTTTCACTGAGAAATGACAGTAACAGGAAAAGATACAGTCCAAATTAAAGACACAGGAAGGAGCTGGAAATAAAAATTAACACCTCAAATTTCCAAAGTTCTTTGAGATAATCATGACTTGGACTCAGAGTACAAAGGAATTTGATACATTTTGCTGAGCAGCTGCCCAAAGTGAACAGACAGGTCTCAAACATACAACAGGAGACTTGTGCAGGATCTACTCTTTGTGATGTTCTTCAGATGGATAGCACCATTGCAAAAAAGCAACAGCAGATCTAGAATCATCCAGAAACAAACAAACCAACCAAACCAAAGTACTTTCTCCAGACCCAAACTGGGTTCCTAGGGTCACCCTCATGGTTTATGCATATGGCTCTCATGTACAGGCAGGTAACTGGCTTCATTGGTACAATAGAAAATGGGAGAAAGCCTGAAAGCCTATGTATTATCTTCACACTGCCAGTGGGAAGCCCTCTGTGCTGACATGTCTGAAAGGCGTGTTACTCAGTCCAAAAAAAGCTGGAAGCAGCAGAGCCTGACTATCAGCTGGCTTCAGGGGGGCTCATGCACATGAAAGCAGCACAGGAAGGCACCTGAGGTGCACCTGCAGCCACAGCACTGACAGAGGAGTGAGCAGGCATAAAGGTAACAGACCATGTGCCCTGCTGGGCAGAAGCCAGGAGTCTGGGTGTCCTTGTACCTTTCAGCCCACTGCACGAAGTGCTTATGGTTTTCTAGTCCTACTTTCTTTGAGTAATATGTAAGTGCCCAATTCCTGACCAGCCACACTAAAGCAAAAGTGAGTAACATGGGCAGGGTGTTTGTCCAAAACACATTTCCACTAAACTGGGAAACTGCACCTTGAGGGAACTACAATTATTTCCTGTATTAGGACCAGGGCCTGCCACAGCTCCAGAGAACAAAACTGTGGTGTGGATAAGAAGGCAGATCACATCTGCAGACAAAGGGAGCCAGGGTACTGCAGGAGGTACTTTGAGCATCCAAGCAGCTCAGAAACCTCTGGTTAAAATTAATTGTGTGTACCTTAGAGTGCTCCAGCATATACCAGAGGGAACAGGTGGCTCAGGAGAGTAGTGCTTAGGCCCATGCAGACATTAACAGGACAGAGCTGAATGTGAGCACTCAGATACTCAATTAGGCACACCAACACCTATTTCAATCATGCTGCCAGCTTCTGGCTCCAGCTTCTAGTCTGGGCCAAATCATATGATCTTAATAGTGTGCAAGTTATGTCACAGGGGGACTGCGCACAAATGAAGCCACTAGGCCCATCTGACACTGCTGATTAAGCTCCACCCTCAACAGCAACTACCAAGACATAAAACAAAGATTGATTGTTCAAATGCAGTAGAGCACCATGCTCATCAAGGAGCACATTTTTGAAGTGTTGCTTCTTACACAAAGTTTATTCCATTGTTCCATATTTTCCCCAGTATTTTTAATGTTTTAATGAAGTATGAAAAGATAAACACCCTCCCCTTCTCTAATGTAGTAAGCAGTGTTCTGAGAGAGGTGGCTCCTATAAATTTTTAATCAGGTATTTTCCCACTCTTCAGAAGAGGTTTACAAACTGAATGCTTGACTTCAACTGTTCTTCCCACACTATGAACAAGCTTAAGTCCTTAAGTTAGGCTATCCCTAACTTTACTACTATCTCAGAAACTACGGCCTCTCTGTAAACCAGAATTCAAAAAGATGTTGAAGGAAAGCCCTTCCCAGCAAATCAGAAAGTCCCAGTATTCAATGTCTGTATAAGAGAAGGAACTGAAGAAGAAAAGGAAAGCTATGCTGCTTCACAAACTACACATCTGGCTCTGAAGAGCAATCAACAGCTCACAACAGGTCTTAGGTAAAGACCTGTTGTGGGAACTCTCAGCAGTGGAAGGCAAAGCAAAGTGATTTAGGCACTCAGTGGCACTTTGTACTGGCTGTTTACTTGGTGACAGCCTGTCCTGCAGTCCCTGTACAGGAGGCCTCGTTCCTTCCCTGAAGGTCTGCCATGCGACCATCTTGCAACTCAGCTCTCCCATCCAACAATAAATAAAACCCAAAAAGAACTAGTAAGACAAGAACTGATCCTGTATACTAGAAAAACTTCAGAAGGGATAATGTAACTGTTCTTGTTATCAGATCTGCTGCCCCAAAATAATAAATTACAGCAAAACCTGAGAGTTCACTGTAGGCTGCCCAGGAACCACCGCATTGAAAATTCATTCACTTAGAATAAAACATAAGAGCTTCTAAAGGCAGTATGTCAATTTCCTATGCCTTACAGGTACAGACAAACACACACTCCAGTGACATGGCTTGATTTACACAATTATTGCTAAATACAATACTTTGCAATCAATACAAAGCAATTCTATTCAAAAATTATTAAACATGTGGTATCATCTGTGTCCTCTTGTGATAACAAAGTAAAAAAAAAAGTTTTAACAGCTGGAACATAAAATGATGATCTTCACAGAAGAGTAACAAAAGAATTGGTCGAAACCACGCTCAAAATATTTAACAAGATGTGGTGTATGATCCATGCAGCAACCTTAATATTGCAACTCAGTACTCAACACGAGCTCTGATTCATTGTATAAATCTGTTTTTAAACTCTCCATTTTTATTTAATCTACTTCAGGTTCTTGCCACCACCCTCTGCTTACACCACGCTGCCTCAAATTAGCCTCCCTTCAATGACTGACATTGATGGACAGCCTCTGGAGGGCCAACTCCAATCTCTCCACAGCAGCACGGGAGATCACTGGAGGACAGAGAAAGGAAAGAACATCAGAAGCAGGGAAGCAGGAATGAGAGGTTGTGGCAGAACAAGTAGTTTAAAACAGGACAGCACATCCGTGACTGTTACAAAACACTGTTCAAGCAGCAGAACTCACACATGGATGCTTGTTGCTAAACAGTTCAGTGATTTGTCATTTATAGGTGTTACACACGTACAGAATTCAGCAACAGCATAGTAGCCGATAAAACTGAGATCACTAATTTTACAGCAGTGATCAAAAGCACCTTTCCGATGCCTTCCAGTGCAAAGCTCACATCCAAAGAAATGGGCTGAAAATACAGTTGTCAGTCAGTGGAGGACTTGTGAGAACACATGAGAATTCCAGCCAGAACTGCTGATACAGGAGACAAAGTGCCATTTACCAAGCAGCACTTGAATAGTTTACTTAAGTTTCCCTTTTCCCTAGCAATCTCTCTTTTAAAGTAAAGAAAGAAAAAACCCCAAAAACACAAGAAAAAAACCAAACCACCAACTAAAAAAAAAACCAAAAAACCCCCAAAACACCCTGAAAACAAATAACAAAAAAACCCAAACAACCAACACCCTCCCAACCCCTCCCCAAATGAAACACCACACAACAACCAAAAAAACCCAACCAAACACGAACATTTAAAGTAAAAAAACTTAATTGGAAATAACTTAAATGTGTTGTCAAACAACATTTTTTCAGAACAAAGCTGTTGTAATAGTGTACAGAAGTCAGCTTCCATCAAGATGACACTTCAATATTTCTCTTTCGAGTATTTTTAGGGTGCAGTTCAGCAATGTGAGCACCGGGCCTACATTTGCACAACATGTGCTTGTCCCCAAGGCAGGTAGATGATGTACTTCAGCATCTGTTTACACATGTAAGCTTTGTATACATAGTTGGTGTGTATACCCCTTGCAAGTACAAAATAGGCTCTCACACTGGAAATCCACAGTACTTAAAATACCCAAACCATTAGATTTCAAATCTCTTGCTTTGGTATTGAATCAATAGAAAATTTACAATGCCACTCTTCAGTCTTACACAGACTGAGTTTTTAACCAAGGAAATAAAAGAAATAACATGTCTCAGTATCCAAAGAAATCTACAAATACATTCATCAATATGTAGTACATTACAAATACAAAGGCAATATATGGAATTGCTATAGTGTGAATAAAAACCAAGTAGTTGTAGGAGAACCTGAAAGTCTTCCTAACATATTTTTTCATGTAACATTAAATGTCACTGTGGCAATGATGATACAGCAGCTCCTACTACATTACTTTCCAAGCTCCATGTTTGATTGAAAAGCAGGGTAGGAAATTAAAGGCCTCTGAAGAGCTCAGCAGCAACACTTAAGTGCATTGAAAACATTGATAATCTGTGGCACATAGGAACTGATGGATTACACAGGATACTTTCTTCTATTTACAGTATCATACATTTGCATAAAATCTCCGCTGCATTTTTTCTTTAGTACCTAGCCTGTGGCAAATCACAGTAATATTAGTCAAAGAAAAAGCAAATCCTATTTTCTCATAAAGACTAAGTAACTAATAGGTATCACTTATCCTTGCTTAAGCTACCTACCCCTCTGAATGCCTTGAATCTCAAAATTTAATTGGCACTAAAACATTTTGATAACTTAATACAGAAACTGATTGCTCATGATTGCTTACCTCTTGACTTAATCATTACATTCACTGCTGGAGAATCATCCACTTTGCTAGATGTCACAATTAATATATTAAAAAAACCCAAAAGAACACTCAGACAAAAAGTAAATCACCCTTCTCAAAAAAAAAACAAACTGCAAGAAAGAAAAGAGAGACTTTGCTTTTGAGTATCTGATGCATGACAGGCAACACCAAAGCAATGAGCTCTATCACATCATGCTGCCTCTCAGACACCAAACGCTACTACAAGTCTTCACAAATAATTGTTTATGGAGATAGTAAGCAACTCAGCTTCAGCAAAAAACTGCCTTATCACCAAGCTCAGCAGGGCATCTGAGCCTTCAAAGCAGTTCCTGATATCAGTCTGAAAACTGATTTCTGGGTCCAGCTAGGATGGGAGCAAATAGAAGGAAGTAGGAAGAAACACTGCACACAATGTGGCACACATGAAAAAAAGACATATTTACACTTGAAAATGCAAAACACACTACAGTAGAGGAGGAAAAACAATGAAGTAATATGACCTTTGTCACTGAGGACAGGAGGCATGGCCCTCTACTATGAAGCAATTTTTATATGTGTATTTTAAAAACTTTAAAAAATTGAATATGTATGACTCAAGCAGGAGGGCAATGTAGAAAAAAAAATCCCTGTGTTTGAAAATCAATTTCACATCCTTTACAAGAAACCTGGACCCATTTCCTTCCTGGTTAAACCCTGACATAAGGCCTAAAGAGCCTTTAAATAAAAGCAAGCAATATAAAATTTTTAAATACTTACTAACAGTTGCATGGGAAAGTTTTGTTGTGAAACTGAAAAGGAAAGGCAGAGCTGCTTTTAGTCAAAGGGTTGCATACTCTTCTAGAAAACAACACAATAAACCAAACCAAAAAATTCAGTCAACTACACCAACTCACTATCAGTTTACTAACCTTTGGGTTGAAGTCCTCAACTAATCTATTAAAAATGACCTTGCAACACCTGAACACAAAACAGGGAGAACCTGCTATGATAAAACAACATTTTTTCCAGTATACCCCTCATGAACTTTTGATGCCACCTACTGAAGAAACTAGATTTATATCAGTGAATGGCAAGTGTCATCAGGCAACAATCTGCGCTACACTGGTGGCTCCATCTTCATCATCCTTCTCTTCAACACCTCCTTTTTTAAACTTTAATTTAAAAATGGTCTTCCATTTGGTAATTCAGAGCCAGGTCTGATCTTCTTTGTCACTTCCGGTCACACTGTAGGATGTCTTTAGATACCACTCTTATTTCTTGCCAATTCCATTTGATACTTTTGATTTGGAGTGTCGATTCCTCCTTCTAGATGAATGGCTTTCACTATTGGCTGAATGTTTTGGTGGACTATTGTCAGCACCTGCTGAGAAATAAATATCTATTTAATTCATATTTATTTATTTAGTTAGTTAGTTAGTTGACATTGTCAGGCTCCTATCTGAAAGGCAGTAAGGCTTTTTAGAGCTAGAGTGTTAACAATTTGGATTATTTCAGGCTGATACAAATTGGTTGATACTTGTACTCCATCTAGTGGCCCAGTTTTTTTAAAGCAATTCTTAAGACTCCTGTAAAATTCTTCCCTCTCCTCCCTCCCCTACCCCCAAAAAAATATGAAGCTTGCTATAGCAGAGTACAGTGGTGAAACATCTTCAAATTTAAATCATATCAATAATTAAGCCTCCTCATTTTTCTTAGTGGCAGAAGTTAAGAATTATTTAAGCAAAGTCCTAAATAAGAGCAAAGAATTATTTAAGCAAAGTCTTAAATAAGACTTTAGGCAGTCTTTTGAGAGTACACGTCTAGACTTCAGTCTTTCAAATGACAGAATATGTTTTATTCTGAGAAAAAATGGGAGGCAGTGGGCACCAAAACAAGAAATCAAGAACAAAATGTGAAAGAAGCTTGAAGCCTGTAATTAATGAAGTAACAGGAAGTTACAGAGAAGGGGCTTTTTAGTCAAATTTCTCCAGCATGCATAAATGGAAAAAACATTCTGAGTGCAAATCATTTTTCTCCAAAATATAAAAGTCCACAAATTTACTAAACTGAGAATAAACATCCAGAAAAATCATGTATGAAATATAAAGAAGATCTGGTTTAGGCGCTTTTCGAACTTACGATAAATAAGAAATATTTTTAATTTTACAAACACCTGGAACATAAACTCTGACAGATAACTTCCAGGTGTGAATTTTTGATATATGTTCAATAAGCAAGACCACACCAAAAAGCCTATGGAGGAGGCAGATAATTGACCTCTAGTGTAGGGAAAAGAAGTCAGAAAGAAGCTGCCTTTGCTTAGTGCAGAGAAAGCTGCTTATGACCATCAGGACTGCACAGACAAGGCAAAAGTCAGTAAGAACACAAGCTCCAGGGCCCATTGCTGACTATTTCTTAGCAAGAAGAAATAAAAGTACAGCAAATCAAACGTGCAATGTTCAGAGAGAAAACCTGCTCACAACAGTTATGAAATGCATAATGCCCAACACCTACAATAGTGGCCTGGAGTAACAACAGAAAAAAATCAGTTGACACATTAAAAAAAAAAAATACATTTCCAAGAATCAGAATTTAAAAGTGAGCAAAGAAAAATAGCTCTGTAGATGATTTATCTGCATTGGTCCTGCAGAGATGTTAAAACAAGTCCAGCTGAAACTAGGTAAGTTTCTTAAGCCTCATTTTCTAGTGCTGAGCCTTAATTATACCCTTTCAGGAATACAGCTACAGAAGTACCAATACCTCTGCTGAATTTAGAATGAAGCCAGGAAGCATCTGGACTGTATGGACTGTCTTCACTTTCTGATAAGGTCTGCAAAACAAGGACACATGTCATTGAGATGCTGGTGATTCATGTTATCAGTACTCCTCCCATTTGCAAATGGACTTAGAAACCGTAGCAGAAGTCCTCATAAAACATTCAGACAGTACTTTGGACTTTTCCCTTCCTAGTTAGAAGGCACCACATAGATGATACAGTAAGAACTCACCACTTGCCACGTGATCTGTTGTGTAACCAAGTATTCTTAATATTCCCCTAGCATTCCACCTGTACAATGGGAACATTAGCTAACCATTCATCCTTGAACGCTGTGCTAAAATTACGGCCTCATTTTGAGTAACTAAGAGGACAGCGTTCTTTAGAAACCACAGTGTAATCTGGGATCTGTCCAAGGCCTGCTGAATTCAGAGCTCTTTCTCTTGACTTCAGTTACACTCTAGACCATCCCCCCTTATCCCTATTTATGCTAACTCTGGTCAAGAATTCCAAAATCTAGGAGCTTTGGAGTTTTAACTCTGGAATGAAAAAAAGCCAGGCTTCTTTTATATAAGTACCTTTTCTCGGTGGCCGTAGTACTCTGCATACCAAACCATTCCATATAAACACAGGAAAGTTGTAAAGGCCTAAACAAGGGGGGAGAAGAAAAAGAACAACAAGAAAAACAATCTGTAAAACTTTTTCCAAATTCCTTGCTGATTCAAGGTCTCAGAGTCCCTAGAGATGCCACATTTAGACTTTCATGCTCTGTTTCTCCCTGCATCTTTTGTCAGGATGAGTAAGACTCATGCGTCAACTTCAAGCTACACACAGAGCTTGCCACCATGGGGTATGCAGAACAATTCTCAATGGGAGCACGAAAATACATCCAGATTACCCACAGGAAACACTCCCAGCAGGATTTCTGTCCACACTCTGTACAGTCATCACATAAGGGCTGGTAGACACTTGTAGGTATATTATCAAGAACCACCAGACTGGGAGAAAACCAAATTCTCCTTCCCTGCCCCATGCTTCAGGCTAGGTTACATACTTGGTTTTGTGGTACTCTGACCTGAGAAGCAATTCAGTACTTCTCTCCTCTGAAGTAGCAGGAATAAAATCACCAGGCTAAATAAGAGAACAATAAATTCTGACTCCCCATCACCTGTTCAAACTGTGTTCCCAATTAGAAGGGAGAAGTATTTATCTGTATTTAGTATTTTAGCCCATTATAAATGCCTTCTTTTTCACTGACTGTGAAAAATGTGCTTGGCATCAGAGTTACAAGTCTGGCAAGACAAACATCCATTTACTGTTATAAAATGGGCATTTCATGCTGCATTTGCAGTAATCACACTGAAGTACAGAAAGTTACAGGCTTAGTGAGAATGATTTGCTTGATAAATGAGGGTTGTTTATGTAGTTGTAAGACTTCAGTGTGGCACAACACACATTGCTTATTAACACTATCCATTTCCAGCAGGCACTACAGCAAGCTCCACCAAAGCTAGGCTCAATCAAACTGACATCATCTCTCGTAAAGATAAAGCCTCCTATAACTACTGTTTGTTTCATTGTTAAGCACCAGTAATCTGCTATGTCAAGAAATGAGAAGTTATTCTAGTCCCTTCAATGAGAGTTCTAAGCCATCTAGCATTTGTTTTTACTAGGACGTGCATAAGGCTCTTAACCAGCATTGTCCCACAATGATCCCCTGCTGCCAACGTTCCAGAGAGGAAGCTATTTAGATGCTTTCAATGCTTTTGTCAGGCTTTATGTTTCACATGAGAAATTTCACTTACCACACAGAGAAGCCAAAACACAACATACAGTATTTGTGTTTTGGAAAAAAGATCTTGTCCAAACTTGATGCACACAATAGCTTCAAGGAAGGCAATTACCCTGTGGGTAAATGAAAGCAAAGTGATTAAAAACACTAAGGATTTAACTCACATTTTCACAACTCAGACCCCAGACTGTCGGCTCTAAACAAGCACTACCCTCTAGTGAGCACTCACCTCCCTGACACCACCATTAACTGAAGCTCTGACAAATGTCATTTTCTATCTACACTTTTCTCAGCATAAACAGCACACAAAAAGTGACTGACTGGCAGTTCACTGTTTCATGGGGCTCAAGGGAACAAGGAGTGTGTGTCAATAGCAGAGAATCTTCAATTGTGCCTACCCCTGTACTTCAGTTCTCACCATATATGAATTTCTTTTCCATGCTGAACACCCAACAGACTCCCTTGATGGAAGAACTAGAACTGAGCTTTGTTTATTTCTCTACTAGATGTAAATTTACTACAATTCTAAATTGTCTAGTTTGTTTGCTTCACATGTATTTCCCATATTTTCACATATGAGAAAATTCCTATGAAACAACATTTCAAATTCTCTGAGAACCCACGCATTTGCTCTGGTTTATCTGTAACTCAGGTCCACACAACAGCCTCAGAGGATTTGGGGAGAAATATGAGAGGAAAAAATGCAGCTTTTACTTTCCTCTCTGACATTAAAAGGATCAAAAAAAGTATCTCAATCTCTCTGTCTGCTACCAGGCGTTTACATCTTTTCAGGATCAAAAGCTATGAAGGCTTTTCCACTACTTGTTTATGAATCCAAAGTTTCTATTGTTTGCCATGAAAATAAATCTAGTTTGTATAGGTCCTGAAGAGAAAATTAGGTAGGTTTAACAATATAAGTGTAGAAAAGTGACACTAAAAACCTGCATTAAAAGTGCAGGAAATTGACTCATCTCAATCTGAAGCAAATAATGAAAAACACTATTAAATTTCAAGTGTAATAGTTAGCTAGCTCAATAGAGGCTTTCAGGTTGTACATCTGAGCAATGCATGAAAACTCCTCCTCCCCTATGTGCAGACACACTTCACATCACATCAAGTGTTCTAGTCTCCCAAGCTTGACACTGCAGTACCCATTCCCTATCAGCACTGTTAATAACCATTTCACCAAAAAATGGCACTACTGCCTTTCAGGGAAGACCCAGTTTCCCCCACAAAAGAGGAAGGAAAATGTGTGCTTGACTAAATCACTGGTATTGCAGAGATGGTCCTGGTATAAGTAATAAATCACAGCTTTCCCTGTACTATTCAATGTGACTTCCAGCATGATAAATGGGGCCAAAACTTAAAAATGTGGCAGTAACACCCAACTGACCAATACACAAATCAATGAGATGCATATTAGCAAAAAACTGAGAGCAGTATTATTCTCTTTAGTAATTATTTTTCCTTCTTGTTTTATATTATTCTTACTGATCCAGCTGCAGAGTAAGAAATCATGAAGCCAGAGGGGGAAGAGAAAGACCACCATCAGGAAACAAGCACAGGGTTATGATATACTCAAAGGCATAAACAAAACAATAGGCTATTTTTAATAAGGACTCCAAAAATACAGCTGTTTGCCTGTATAACTTATACATTCTTTCTGTTATTCCTGTCAAGAACTTATACATTCTTTCTGTTATTCCTGTCAAGAATACTTGGGTTAAGCACATTTTACAATAGGAAAGCTATTACAGCTGATGAAAAGAGAAAGAAGGATGCTAACAGTGAAGGGTGTTAGTGTCCTACTGAAGGGTGATGAGAGCACTCCATAGAACTAAATGTGGTAAGTTTTCTTTCAAGCAAAATGGTCTTGTAACATTCTAACAGATTTTCCTTTTTGAAAGGCTTCATCTTAATGAAAATAGTGCAATTTCAGCAAGACTGTTGCACTGACCTTGTTCATGCTTTACATCACTTTATATCTATCAAGAGTGATGCAATAGTTATGTCAAGTTGAAAGGAAACAGTTTTGTACTAATGAAAGGCACTAATTTTAATTATACCCATAGTTAGGCTGCTTAAAATTCCATTTGTGCCTTTAGAAGTGTCTTGTTTACCAAAGAGATGAATGTTCCATATACTTCTTTTAATTGCTTCAGAAATTATATTCTAGATAGTTACATTACTGGAAGATTTCATCTTTTTCTGCAATCAACAGCAACTCCTAGTGATGCTCTGTTGTTTCTAGCAGATTACAGAAGTAAGCAGTAGGAAGGAGAATACTTATTCCATACACACTTCTCACTATGGAAGTGGGAAGTGTGTATGGAATAAGTAGAGATCAGACTGTGGGTCAATGTTCTATTGCAGTAGACACAGAAGCAATCCTGCAGACATATCTGGGTATCTATTTATTGACACATGTTACATTAATGTGTTCAGTGAGAGCTTTAGACCAAGGATGATGGGTTCTGTATCCTTAACAATTCTTCAGAAGCAAGCATGCAAACTCTTCATTTAAAGGTATTCTCAAAGAGAAAAAGAGATTGCAGTCAGGGTCACCATGGTTCATAGCACACTCACAGACAGAGTGGATAACCATGCCTTGTTTCACTGTCCTCTGCTGTGATGCTGCTAACAGCAGCAATGCCCACCTTGGCAGCCAGGGAAACTTCACCCTCACAGCCATCAAGCTGTAGAGGTAAGAGCTTTTTCCTTCTCACCTAAGAATGGGCAGAAAGGCCAATGGTGCTTTGAAAGAGCCTAGCTTTATCCACCAGTTCCTAGTTATTCCTTCTGTTGTCCTTACTCATTCCATTACTTCCCATGTTCTTCCTCCAAATTCAGAATTTCCCTTCCCTCTGAACTTGCAAAACCAAAACAAGACAAGGCTTCATGGGAAGTGCCAGTTCCTGTGCTGGACCCATCCTTGACAATTGTCCAAGTGCTTCAGGAATGCAGCAAGAATACTTACCCAAACACCCAGCACTGAGTTCCCACCCTCTTGCACTGTGTGTCTGTGAGGTAAGCATAGTATTGCCTGAGAAGGAAAGAAAGAAAATTCTTCAGTGAAGTTGAAAGTCCCCAGAATATTTACATTTAGAAAAAAAATTGTTACAGATGTATCTATAGTGCAAATGAAGTGGTGATGGTTAAATTCACATGCAATCATTCTGGATGTCTACCAGATGGCTTCAATTCTAGCAGGACAGATTATCACATATATCAAATAGCTTGAGACAACACAGAAAACAATCCTGAGAGCAAGGACTGGGAAAGTACCCAAACTAGTAGGCTAGCAACATTTGTCTCCTGCCTCTCCAGAGTCTCCAATTCTTATAGAAAAACTGCAACAGTTTCAAAAGAATTAGAGAATCCCTCATTTTTTTCCACAGTTTGTCTTTTATTTATTAAAAACCACATTTTCTTGAGAAATGTGGGCTTGAATCTTTAAAGAATATGGCTATTCCATATTATGTTTGAATGGTCTAACCACTGGCATATTTTCCTCTCAAGAACAGTAAAATTTTTCACTATTCTGAAAACAGTATGGAGGCCATTCTGCTCTGCTCTCTATGCTCCAGAAATTTAGGAGTTTTGAGAGGGGAATTCCAAAGAAGTGGAATCAAAGTTTCTGCTCTCAGTTTCTGATTTCCACTGACAGATGGAGAAGACAAGTGTTATTACTCCAACAATACAAGCACTGCTAAAGAATAAAGACTTCTACAGCAGTGCAAGTGCTACATAGGAAAAAAAAAACCATGCAAATTCACCTATACAAGAGGTCACAGGGTATTTTGGGTGATTTAATTAATAGTGTGAAATCACTGCACATAACTTAAGACACTATTTGAGGAATAAACCAATTCATAGCTGTCATTTAACTGTCCAAGGTAACATCACTTCGGACATGAACAGGGAATTCTCTGCTTCTAAATTCAGATCTGTGTGCATTCTGTCTACCTCCAACTACGGAATGGGGAAAAAAATAAAATTAAGGAACTTTGCTAACAAGGTAAAACAGCATGCATGACCAAAAGCAGATTCATGTTCCTATACAGCTGTCAACACTGCATAAATATTGCTCCGTTCTCACAATAAGCTACTGCTCAATCACAATCAGGAGCTGTTAGAAAAATCAACAGCTCTGGTTTTCCTCATCTACACTTTTGGGAGCACCTGACTCACTAACTTGAATACTTTCACATGCAGTCCTCAAGGATAACATATGCAGCTCCCTCACAAAACAGGGAGATGCTACACAAACAGGAGAAGGAACAGACTGGCTCTACATACCTATGGCAACACAGTTGTTATGTACATTTTACCTCACTATTTTATTTGTGAGGAAATACATTTTATTGACAAGAGATTATTGTTTTGCATTTTATGGTGGCAAAAGCATACATTTGTGAAAACACGTGCCAAACTTATTCACAAACTTTATGCAGTTCTTGGATGCCTAGAAGTTAAGCTACTTTAAACTGAAAAAAACACTGAAGCAAAAAAATTACCTTACAGTGGGTGCTGTAATGATTCCTATGAAGAGAATTCTCCCCCAGCTTAAAGGGTGGCTTGCTTGGAACACAAAGATATGTTTCAAAAAGAATGTGTTCAACTCAGTTAGCTAGATCAAAAAAAAAGCTAGTTAATAATGTTCAACTTACATAATTCCTAATGAATTAGTACAGAAAATGGGCAAAGATTAATATGGAAACTAAAACAAGGAATTCCTGCTGTGTCTTTTGCTAGGACAAACAAGTAATATACTAGTAAAACAAAGAATTCTCCCCTAGAAACCTCTATCAAAGTATTTGCTCTCTTTCCCAAAACTCTTTAAGGGACCAGACACTAATTCATCCTGTAGAGATCTTCTGATAACTTGCACATCCTAAATCAAGTACAAATAACCAAGGCAATTTTGGGAGAGAATCAGAAGAGATCATACATTAGAAAAAAAACCTCAAACAACTATATCAAATATTTATGGTTCGCCTTTAAAACACTAAATTAAGATTTTTTTTTAAAAATCACAAAAGTTTTAGTTTTAAGATTTTAAAGCATTTGTGACACACTATAGAGTCTTGCTGGACCAATGACAGTATTCTGAGTATCACTGATCTGTTCAACAGTCAATGGGAAAGGAAAAAAAATCCAAGAAAAGCAAAGCAAAAGAAACAAACATACCCCCCACACAAACCACACTTAATCCTGTCACATCAACACAACAAAATGAAAATAAATTAAAACTCCACCACCTAAACTCTACTGACTAGCAGTTTTTAAATCTGTGTCAATTGCAAAAAGCCAATACAGCAATCCGTAACATTTGGCTTTTTCCACAGATTCTGTAATTACACTCTTGAACTACCACATAACTCCCATGAAAGTGCCCTGTCCAATTCCTCATCATCACTTCATTTAACTGTGTACTTCAGTAACAGACACACAGTCCATCAGAATATTTTTTAGTCCAACATAGGCAGCAAGTAACTGAGCTGATGGCAGCTCTGATTTCACAGAATTGATTTCTTACCTGCCAAATAATCATGAAAAGGTAGACTCCAGCCACCCTCTGAAATGAAGACTTTGGGTCAAACCAGCGGACGTAGGTCCAGCTGGCTGGGGTGAACTGTAACACAGCTCTTTTGATCTTCCCTGTGGTTGTGTGAATGTCCCTGGGAAAAATAATGCCTGCAGTAAATACAAGGAATATGCCAGAAGGAAAAAACCAAAAAAGCAACAGCTCTGTTACTGATGCTTCTGAGGAACAGCCACATTTTTTTGGTCAGCAGAGATCTTCTCAGACACAACTATGTACCAGGCAAGGGGGGGGATTCAGAAAAATAATCTATTAAGCATTTCAGTCAAGGTGTGTATTCTGCTAGAAAATTCTGCCCTTCTCTATCCTCAGTCAATAACTCAGTAACTAACTACAAAACACATTTATCATTCTCTTCACAAAGAAAAAAGGACAGCAATTCTGCAACTTCCTTGGAAAATCTAGAGGTTATTTCTTCCTAGTTTATGTTGCTACTGCTCTTCCCCCAAACACTCCTTGTTCTAGAGCTCACTGACATCAATCCTTCAAGAATCTGTAAGATTCATTATTCATTATTTGTATCAGGGACTGGGCTCCACAGGTTTGATAATACTACACCTCCAGCACACACAAGTCCTGCTGTTCTGATAGCAGATGCATGTGGACCTCCTGGAGAGGAGTGATAACACTGTTAAAAGCAAGAAAGCATTTAAATTCCATTTCAAAAGGGAATTTTAATGTAGGCTCATCTGACGTGTTACTGATTCTTGCTTTTGATAATATTAATTCAGATGAGCAACAGCATCCAAAGGACACAGAATCTAAGAAAAACTCAGAGCTTCCTCTTCTGAAGGAAGACTAGCAGGACTAGAAGCCATTTTTCACCCTGTTATTTCTCTGGCCCTTTAGACAAAAAAAAAAAAATCCAAAAAATTCTCAGATTTGATAATTCCAATATTTGTGTTCTTCTAGGCTAGAGAGAGCTTAGATTAGGGAGAATCTTCTAAACTTTAAGATCTGTATTTATTAAATGAAAAAAAAAAGAAAAACTAAAAGGCCACAAGTACAAGCTTCTCATTCTCATGAAGCAACATCTTCATGTTAAAGGTCAGAAAAATCTACTCATGCATTAAAAAGAATATGAGGAAAGATTATTTCACAAAGACAGTAAAGACTAGTTGTGCCATAGATAGTCTGCTGTTTAAACTTTCAGTGAGCCCCTCTAAAGACAGAAGGACCATCAACTATAATAGAAATGCAGGAGAACTGAATTCAGACTAAAGGCTGGATGGTTCTTAGAGTAATTAACACATCTGTGAGCAAAAAAAGAAAGCAGTACAGAAATTCACACAAGATACAAATTTGGAAATCAAGATCTGAGTTCCTTTTCCCTCTCTCAAGGCAATTCACTGCACTTGACCCTGTTTCATGCATACCATTGGTAATGTGCAGACATCCATGCTTGTTACCAGCTAGCAGGGCAGAAGGCAGGACAGGGCCAAAAAGCTATGGAAGAAGCCACACCTGGACAGCTAGGAACTGACATACTAGGCCATAAGCTGCTGCCCTTTTACACAGCAAATGCCTCTTTATTTTACAATTACTCCATTTATTTTAGAAGGTCAGCAATGAGGTAAAGCAATTCACAGCACAGGTACCATCAGCCCCATGCCCTCACTGCAATTACTATTGCTGACAGATTGGTGCACACTAATGATGCACCAAGGTGAGCCCAAATCTAGTTAAAAAATATATGATGAAAAAACAATCACAATTTGTTTTGCTCCCTGACTTCCTCAAAGTTTTATGCGCACAAAATAAACTGAAAATTCAAATAAGTTTACTATTTGTATTGTCCATTGGCATCAATGCTTGTAACTTGAAATTGCAAAGGAAAATCATATACAGAGTCACATTTAGAAACATTTACATACAGGAACATTACTATGACACTGATATTTAACATTTGAAATAAAATTACAGCACTGGTAGCACAGGAAGATTCCATGCTATTTTTTACATGCAAAACAATGCTTATCAAGCTTTAATTTACACCTACTTGAAGCTTGCCCAGTGATAGGTCCTCATCTCCAAGAAACGACAAACTACCATGCCCAACCAGATGCCACCCCCGTTACAAAGCAGGATGTCCAGAATGACTTGATCCCACCAGCATTCAGCAAAATTAGGCAGAAGGTGCATGAAGAAGAGCTACAGAATACAGCAAAAAGACTCTGGGTCAGGAACAGCACAGAATTAATATAAATTCACTTTTAAAGTACACATTCAAAAATCAGCTTTTCAGTACACAGCATACTTCAAAAGGACATGAGCCACAGCCACTGAAATTTGATGGACATCCTTCCATGAACTTCAGAAGGCCTTGAACAGAATCACACAAGGCATCAGAGGTTTCCTTCTCACTGTTCCCTGTTGAGACTATGCTGTATATAAGGATATCATGCAGCCCTTGGCTTCTCAAAGATGATACACAATACATTAACAGAAATGTATGAAACAAGCACAACAACTGCATTTCCTGGAGGAAATAAGGTGGTTCGTGCTTTAAAAAATAAAATTAAGAGAATCTTTTTTTCATTTCTGCTAAATAGTTTTAACTAGTATATTTTCTAAACCAGCAACAAGATGCAGCAAGTGAAATGGATGTCAGTACTAAAGCATAGTGGTGTTCAGGACATAGGACTTCTTTATTTCAACTCTATTTTCAGGAAATTTAGTGACTGTAAAAAAATTAAGAGTTCAACAGCATATCAGCAAGTTTTGCTGCTATACTTAATACAGAATGGCTCAAGAAGTTAAGAGGACATTTCACTCCACTGATGCAGTGAGGGGAACAACTGGCCAGAGTTAAGGCAAGATATAAATGTATTTTACCAAGAGCTAGAAACAGGTTCACTGCCTCTCTCTCCTTTAAGAAAAATAATTTTACTTTCTTATTCTATGAGAAAAATCACTGCAATTAAAAAAAATAGACTGGAGAAGTTACCTATGGACAGGAAATCAAGACAGCCATGTGTTAAGCAGTCCCTCTGCAATACTCAAGGAGATAATTAACAAAATACACAGCAAACCAAAGAATGTACCTCCACAAACACACTGCAATTCTTGTAGTTAATGTACGTACACTGTGGCTGTGGAAGATTATTGGTATGATTTTGTAATAAAGTATCTTTTGTTCAGAGATGTAAGCATAAAGTACTGAAAAATATCAGATCTGAGAAAAGGAACAAGGATGTTTTCTGTATACAACAGGAATGAATGCTGACTCATTTACAGTACATTACAGTGACTAATACTTGCAATGACAATTCCTGTAAAAACTCTTGCAAAAATGTATCAAGTGCAGTTGTTTTTCTTTGACCAAGCTATGTGGATTTGAACCTTTACAAAAAAGAAAACTTGACTTTCTCTTCAGGAACCAAGTGATACAGTGTTGTTCATTGTCCTGGTAAAGTTTCCCTTTCATATTTTTAATTAATTTAGCCTGAGAGGGGCAATAGCCCACAAATGTCAGTAACATCCAGGCAAGGACACCAGAAGTTACAGATAATTAGGCAGCAAGACCAGAGCACAGGTCTGACAGCCTGACAGCCTCTAAGGTTCTCTAGCTGCTTTCTCACAATGAGACCAAGGTCTGCCTGCTCTCCAACTTTAATCCAAAAGTATGGAGCATGAGCCAAGGAGTTGGCTGCAATCCATGAATGCTAATAGGAAATACTCAGCTAAATCCCTAAGTAACTGCCCTGATAACTTCTGGAGGTTTCTAATTACTCTCCTAAATTATCTGATTTATCAAAAATCCATTTGAGTGGTGATAATATATCTGTGTTTTGAACCTTGTCCAACATATTATCTGTTCCAATAATGTGCCTTCCAACAAGGGGAATACTAGACACCTGATGCTGTATCAAATTGAAGACAAGGGTTGTATGATGAACAGCAAGAGTATGAGTGAAACAAATCCAAATACATTATTTTCCAGAGGGAAAAAATTAGTACAATAACTAGCTGAGGTATTTTCTGTGAATGGGTACTTCTGAAATCTTCATCAATTTCAAAATCACTTAGAAAACATAGTATCCTTCAATGCCACAGAACAAAAACATATTTTGAAGAGGAACTCACAGCACCAGGATTTTCAAACCCAAAATTTAATTTTAGACGAATAAATCCTTATCTATGCTTCTAAATTACAAATGCTTTATCAGATAAGCCAAGCATTCTCAAGACAGCAAGCTTTAAAGAAAACTGATTTTAAAGACTAAGTTCAGGTGTTTACATCAAGAAGATCCCTCAACTCCATTTCACTTGTACATTATGCATCACTATACACAATGTGTGATATTGTTACATGTGAGGGACCAAGAGACTAGATCACAGATATTGCAAGGTGAAATAGGAGAACAGCTGCTCTGAATCAGGAAATATGTGAAGTAGAAAAAGTAGCATGATCCTTATAACAGCAGAAAATAAATTATGAATGGCACAAATAGGCTGAGCGAGACTTCCTTTCTATTCAAGCAGTAATAAATCACTTACAAAAAGCCCAGCTTGCTGTTGTCTGTTCATTCAGCTGCATAAATTACTCATCTGGCTTATAAGACTTAAACCGTAAACCTCTAAGAGAAGTAGAGAGCCATCCTTCTAGTAACATTCACTCTTCCCCCAAGACCAATGCGCATCTCTTCCCTTTGCAGATAGTTAAGATGAAGTGCCCTACCTCAGTGAGCTCCCAGGTGATGCTGATAGTCCAGCAGAGCCCATAGCTGCGGATCAGCAGAGCCTTCATGGCCCAGCCCCAGAAATGTCCAAAAGCAAATATGTCAAAATGGCTGAGGATTCTCTCCCAGGTGATAACATGACAGTTCACTGCATATTCCTGTTAGGAAAAGAAAAAACCCAGAACAAAATTACTCCATCAACACACAACTTCAGAAAGAAGAAACGTCTTTCCATCCAGTGCATTAAGCCTGGAATTATAAGGTATTAAAATCAGCATTATTTAATTTTCTTATCCTTCTAAACTGTGGCAAAAAACTTCCAGTATTAAGACTCAGTACTGCCATCACAGCTCTAATTTAAAGGGAAACAGAATGGACCTTGGTGCCTGAAGAAGCATGTATTTCCTAAGTGACAGAGAAGCAACGAAACCAATAATATCCATATCCATAAAACCAGCAAACAATACTCTAGAAAATATTTATTTGCCCTTCTTTGGAGTCTTGATTTGAAATAAGCACCTTTCTCCACATTCATGCTGTCTGGTATTCAGATGGGGCTCATTAGTGGCTAATCCTCCTCAGTTTCTGATGTAATGTTACTCATGTCAATGTTCACTTGAGTATCTTTTGTGTCTTATTTTCCTCATGAAAGCAATTTCCTAGAACCCATTCATATTGAGGACATTCAGCCATAGGCTTGGATTGAAAAAAAATTTAGGGGAAGATCAAAGGGAACTTGCAAACGTTTTTTCACAGATGAGTAGCAGATTCCTTAAGAACACCAATTAATATTCTAGTCACCAATGACAAAGGAACCAGGTTCTCAAAACATGTTGTACAGCAAGTGCTAGAAATCACTGCCCAGAAAGAAAAAAATGCATGCCATCAGGAGGCTGCAAATGTGGGGTTCTGTCTCATCACTGAGCACAAACTGAACTATTCCTAACAGGAAACACGCATTTTAAAAAATCTCTGCTCTTCAATCCTCCTAAAATACACATTGCCACCTGCAGGTGACAACTCAGCACTGCTCAGTGCTGTTAAATCAAGAATTCTCTTTCAGGCCAGAACTATTGCTAATCCTGCACAAATGAACACTAATCAAGTTGAAGATGAGATAGCAGAGAATGATTTAAATCCTGGCCACCACAAAGAGAAGAAGCACAATTTCATATAAATCTGTCTAGCAGCAGGCAGCTAAGTCCTGCTGTGGGATGACAGGAGTTGTGTAGGTTACTGCAAGTCATCCTTACTGCTGGTGCTTTCTTGTGCCTGTGCTGCTGGCCAAAGAAAGGTGCACCACCTGTTCTAAGGATGGTAAACCTGCAGCTTTAGTGCACCAAGAGAACTGAAACTGGCTCCTTTGCCAGCATGAGAAGCATGGAACACACCACAGAAGGTGCGGGCTCCTTGCTACACTACGATACCTATAATGAGTGCACAATGAGGCTATTTCAAAAGTAAGATTTTTTCCACGGCTCTTGCTTTTTTCTTTTATTTTTCCTTTTCCCCTCTATCTAATTTTTCCAGCTGCAGTTGTGCCAGTCATACAGTGAAATGTGTTGAATTTTTTTTTTTATACCCAAGCAACTTTGCTTGTACTGTGCAAGCGACCAAGCTGCAGCCTTCATTACAGCTGCATTTTAAAAATTTACTCCAACTTCAAATGACAATACCTGGATTGCAAAGCAGACCAGGGCAAGTTTCCACTGACTGCTACAGTCAGGGAATCTGCTGTACTGTGCTTCTGTGCCAGTAGTAATACTAGTCCTCCCCTAGCTAGAATCAATTTCTAATTTAAATGACAGGAGAGCCAGGTGAATCTGACAAACCAACAGACTCCTTGTCTCAGCACCCTTTTGTTGCTCAGCAACACCACTGACACTGGTGCTGGGGGTCCATTTAGCCATGTGTCCTACCCCCATCCTAAGGGCAGGCTGCTCTCACCTCTCCAGCAGCACAGGAGGCTCCTTGCAGAACCCAAAGTCACAGCCCAGAGCTGCACAGCATGTACTGCTGACAGGCTGAGGTGCAGTACCTGAAGCATGCAGTTTTCCAGGCAAGGAGCCTGCATGCAGCCCTCACTATCAATCAGCCAACATGAGCTTACTGCCCTGTGAAGATTTCCATTCCCCCGTGTGCTACAGGGCACGAGTTTGCAGCTGATGAGGTGCTGTGCCTTGGTCTGCATAAGCAATAAATTGCCACGTGTGAAAGACAGCCAGTCAATTTCCCTACTCATGAGGCATGAGCCCTATAGAAGCACCTAGCAGTCAACAGATGACCATGGTGGACAGATGCACTAACACAAGGTCAAGGGAGCATGTTGGTCAGATGGTGAGGAGTAATTTGATGTGATAGTGAGGAGGGCAAGATCAGTGATTCTTGCCTCCCCACACAGCCTCCTCTTCTGCTTGGTGCCCAACTGCTCACACAGTTCTGCCTGCCTCCCTGCATAACTCTCACCCTTCTCTCAGGCCTCCTTTTACAAGCTCAGCTCTCTGTGTTCGTGTCCCCACCTGAAGGGGAATGTTCTCTGTAAGGAAAACTCTTTGCAAGCTGCTCAGTGAGCAGAACAAGAAGTCTGGCTCTCTATGCCACTCCAGATTATGGTCTATGGAAATAATTTCCCAATGGTAACAGCATCAGTGCTCAGTTGCTGACTGACTGGAAGGGAGCAGAGTCCTGCAGTTGCCATACAAACACATACTCCACAGGCTCCATAGCACAACAGCAATGTACTAAGCTCAGAGCAACAAGATGAGACCAAAGCTCTTTGAGTGCAGCACTGTGGCATCAAAAACCCCGATCTGGGACACATACCATACAGGCTTCATTTAGACACTACCTTGCTAAGTCTATTTTCAGTATCCATCCTCATATCTATTACCAAAAAGCATCCAAAGCTACCCCACTGCAAACATATATCTTATTCCAAATCGCACACTCATCCAAACATCTACATTAGCAAAAAAAAAATAAAATACTGAGAAGACTCTTTTTCACACCAGTAGATTTCAATGTAAATAAATTGTTGACACAAAGGACTTGTTGGCTCTGTCAAGTATAGGCACAAACTTGCACTGGTCATGGAAACAAATTTAGATTTATCCATTCCCACTCACATAAAACATGCCTAAAGTATGTACAGTAAAGTGCCATGGATACATACCATAATATCTGCTTCCCTTGTGGCATATCGAAGATTAGGGTCCAGCCAGTACATCACTGCTTTTACCTGCTCAAAGTTGAGGAAGAGCACGAACACCAGGAACAGAAAATAGAGCACACTGAGACCTGCAAAAAGACTCAGTTTTAAAATCATGCTCAAAACTGCTTGGAACATAGAGTTCAAAAAGCTCTTTTCAAACAGTTGTTCTACAAATGAATTTCTATATGCAGCAGCTACATACAGAAAAGCTGAAGAGACCCCAGTCAGATGGCAATGTCTGAGCACTCAGCCCTTCGTATCCCCTCCTGTGACAAGTGATACAACACATGCTCAACTGCATGAACAAATCAGTCTAATCAATCTAGACATGTGCAGTACAAGGCTGTGATCAGGAAGCTCCTTAGTAAGAGATACATTAGGATCCAGGATTGCATCAGCTCTGCCCCTTTGCTTTAAGTATTCTTGGTCTCACTAATGTAAGTCCCTAAGCCTTTACACAGATTTCAACATAAAGATCAACTTAATAATGCCACCTGGTAATTCTGAGCTGTGCTGGTAATAAAGAGTAATTATAAACTAATGCATGTCTGAGTTACTTTTGTGAGCTGGAAAATTTGCTGCTTGAACCTTTTAAAGATAAATATTGTTATTATTTCTTTTCACATCACTATAAATTATGGAACACAACTGCATTTAGGAGTACCATTTCTCTCTTCCAGTCTGAATAAGGTTTTTTTTTTTAAAAAAGAAAAACTTACTGCCCTAGGTGTAGCACTGTGGGCAGATGAAGCTTTTGTTGGGACCATATCTTTACATTACTCACAAGATCCCAGATATCCAAGACCACATTTGGAGGAGGCATACAAACACCATTTCCAGAGCTTCAAATGTATCCTGCAGCAATGTCACGGAAGGCAGAAAGATTAATGTGAATAAACTTAGGATCTGCCATTCAAAATAAACTGCAGCAATTTTAAAAAGGCCTTTTAAACTATAACCAGGACTCACATGCTGATAGCCCACAGTGTACACCAGAAAGCAACTTTTGTTCAGAGACACATACATGCACAGGAAGTACCTGCATGGTCCTGTGCAGTCCCTCCCAGAAACACAAGGGCAACAGATGTCACCCTGCTAAATGAAGCACAGCCTGGAGGCCAGGGTGCACCTGGAAATGTTGAGGATGTCCCAGTCCTGCCCTTCATCTACTGAAGGGGTCTGAGAACTGAAACACAGCTAAATGAACCACACCAGAAGGAGAATTACACAGGGAAAAATGCTGCTCCTGATTTTGCATGCAGCCTTTTCCCAAAAGTACAGGGGTCAAGCTCTGACAGCATCAACATTGAGAATGACCTTTCACTCTACATGTGGTGAAACTTGAAGTGAGCAGTAGGATCTAGTGTTTGCAGTAGGAGTAGTGTTTCCCAAACTTTCCAAGAAGTAGGTTTGTTTAATGAGAACTGTCTAATCAGCAATATCCTCTCAATGTCAACAGATGAGTAATCAGCTACTTTGGGAACCTACTTATTTTTAGATATAAGGTGTCAGGAGAGCGGAACATTCAGTCTGTCTAAAAACAAGCAAATGTGCAGTCTAGCATATGCTCTGTGAACCCTGAATTATTTGAAAATAAAAATCTTCATGATTTTGCTGTATAATTTAGATGCTTAAGGAGCAGGATTTCACTTGTGAGTTTTGTAGCTAACAGAATTATTTTTGGAACTGTAAATGCAACTGATTTTTACAGGTACTTTTAATGAAATAAGTTATGAATATGAATATATACATGTCCGGAATATTAATAAATGTTAACCTATGCAATGCTACAATTTAGCAAACAAATAAAGTAACAGCATATTTTGCCAATAATGAAAAGAAACCAACTACTCAACTGTGTTTAAAAATCAGACAGCATATGCAGTAGCTGGGGTTGGAAGAGCTGACAGTAGGAAAGGTGTGGGGGAAGGAGATTGGGAAGCACAAAACAGGATTAGTATCAGAATTAATGATCCCTTTTTTGTGATTTCATTTACACCATCCCAACACAGAGTGACTACAATGAAATTCCCAGACATAACTAAGAATAGATTATAAGCAACTGCTCAGGAGCAGGAGGAAAGTAACATTCACACAAATTTGACACACAATTATGTTTCATGACAATTCCGTTCATCAGAAAGCTAAAAAGGCAGGTCCTGCAAAATCAATGCAAAAGTTGGAAACACAAACTTACCAAAAACCATCCTCCATAGAGCAGGGTGAGGACGTGTAAAGGGTCCTATAGACAGCAAACAAAAAGCTTATTAGGAGACAGTCAGTAAAAACCACAAAATTTATTTTTGAGTCATTGCATATGACTACTTGGCATGAGCATGGATCAGTTCTTCATCAAACTATGTAATACACCTGAAAGCTGGAGCTCTATGCTGTTAAAAAAAATTCCAGCAGATTTCAGAGTGGAAAAAGGAGACTGCCAGGTGGTAACATGAAGACAATTTTTCACTGTTTTTATGGAGTCATGTCCAAAACAGTAGCATGCTGTTTGTTCAGCAGACACCACATCTCAGGTGTCACCTGAGGATGTCCTGACCTGGTTTCCACAATGCAGCTTGCTCCCAGTTAAGATATCCCATACAAATTTGTCTGTGTTAACAAAGAAACATGGTCCTTAGTCTTCAGACCAACAAGAAATGTTACCAAACAGGCCTCCTGAAATTTCCAAACTGAACATCATATATAGCTGACAAGAAGGAAGACACCTATGCTCTTTACTGGTGTCAAATTATTTACTTTAGAGCCAGGGATGAAACTGATTTATTAGACTAAAAACCTCTCAGCTAATGTGAACAGCAGACAAAGTAAATCTGGTGAAACTGGAAAACATCTAAAGATGAATCAGACATTTAGGTAGCAAGAAGTGGCTCAACAAATATTTTCAGCACACATTGCAGACCACTCTTCCACCACTGTATGCATCAAGCTGCTTTTTCTCTGGCATTCAGTTTTTTGGGCAGCACTTTGTGAAAAGCATGCATATAGAACTTTAACATCTGGGGAAAACACATCCCAACTCTGCAGTACAAAACTGCCCTGCACATGATCACTATTTTTTCCTGAACACTGCCAACTGTCATACAGTTTAGATTTAACCCAAGAATCACTATTTTGCTGACAGGAATAAGCAAAAATTAAAAAAACCAAACCAGACAAACCATGTATAAGCATTTCTTTCACAGAATTAAGTGACACAGAAACGTTCTTACATTTTTATACTTTCTGCTCCTCATGCAACTACCAAAACTTTTGTCCAACTTTAATTTCTACTGAGCAACTGAGGATTTACACTGTAAATGCAACTTAAACCATTTGTATTACTATCTTCTGCTAAGGTGCTGTGTCTGAGAACTTTTAGAATTACACTTCTGTTGAAACACACTGAGGCAAAGTCCTCCTAAACACTATTTAAGGGTCTGTTAGCATCATTACTTACAATCTGAGCTGCAACTGCACATCTGCAAATAGGACACTGATTTTTGAGAACTTAACTTCCTTGTTAAACACAGACTATAAATAACAAGCTATAAATAACACTTATCTCTGCTCAGTATGACAACAACCCATTTTTAGACTGTTCCTTAACATAAAAGAATTCCAATGAGTAAAGAAAAATACACTGAAAATTGGTATTTCAATAAAAGTCCAAGTAAATATAGTGGCAATAAAGAGAAACATTTAAAAAACACGAAGACCAAGCTGTATAAACCTTACTCACCATTAGGAAAAGCTAGAACACTGATGATTAGAAAGAAGAAAATCACAGAGAGGATACCCCTCCAAATATTATCCTCTGGTACAGAATCATCCCTAAAGAAACAGACAACACAGTATTAAAGTACATTATAAGGATGAAGTCAAAAGGCTCTCAAGATATATTATTTAAATAAAGAATATAAGGAAATTAAATATAAGAAATATGCATGCCCATTATGTTACAAGTTAAGACAGTAATTGCACTGAATGATTTTCACACTACACTTCTGGGTGTCTCTTTCTTACAAGAGGGTTAAGTATTTAGTAAACACATGCAAGCCATTAGCATTGTTAGAAGTGAGTGTAGAAATAATGATCAAATTTAACATAAGGTGAAAAAAAATCTTCCTGCTTTAATACTTACAGAAACATCATTGAATTACTTTTACACAGAAACTTTTACTTTTACACCTAAACTAAAACCTCTGGAAGCCTGGATGCAATTCCTAGGTTTCTTTCTGCTGTTTTGGTGCTACTTGCAATATCCTTCACTTCCTTTTGCCTATCCTCAACATCAAATGCCTGAGATGAGGGCAGAAATAATTATAATAATCAGTCTTTAGAAATAATGAATGTACAGCTTAGAATCTGTAACAGAGACACAGCACAACTTGAAAGACCCAAAGAAAAATATCAATTGCTTTAAGATCGATTAAGCCAAAGCTCTGAATGTAGCATCATGCATCAGTTGGGCTGCTGTTACATTATAGCCAGAAGACAGACCTAAGAATTCAGTTTGGAATGCTGAGGCAAACTTGACAAAGCCCTTTCTTTTCAGGCAGGTAGAAGATTGACAAAATAACTCTCCCCTAACTTTACTAACCAGCAGACAGTTTCTGGGATACTTCAGTAATACAAAAAACCAAACTTCAGTCTATCATAGTATAAACAGTGAATATTTCATAATATCCACTACAACTAAAGTCAGTTTTACTATCTGGGTAGTTAGCATGCACTTAGGATCAGTTTATTCATTTGTGTATATTTGTTTATTTATCCACAACACAATAACAAAATAATTCCTAGCAAACTTTGAAGGTATAAAGCTCTTCCTGGAAGAGCATCTGTCACATTTCTGGGTGGTTCAGTAAAGAATCCATGACAGCATAAATGCTCTCCACATTAGATACTTGCTGCAGTTAGAAAATATTTCTCACTTAGCCAAATTATTTTTCTTTTCCTCAAAACTGAACCTTAACAGCTTCACAGCAGGCTTTCATCACTGTGAGGCATTTAAGCACTGTGTTAGTTTAAATGTATGGAAGGAAAAAGTGCATTAAACACAAATGGTTTCTCTGCAGGCCTTAGGGACTTCCCACAGCATTTTTTTTAACCAGCTGAGTTCAGCCTTACCAGTCATTTTCCAGCAGCCATGCTGCACAGGCTGACACTTTATACTAGCCATAAACTCCAGGTCCCAGAGCTTAACTCAGGCTCCCTTGGCAATCCCAAGACTTATGCCATCCAGTGCACTTCCTGGCCAGAGCCTCCAGCTCTGATGCCCCAGACAGCAGAACCATATCCCTCTTTTAACACATGTAAATAACACACTGAAATATTGTCATGGCTGCCACCAAGAGGATGAACTGGTTTGTTTTTCTTCTAGATAGAACAAATAAGTACAGTTGCATCACATCAATTCATCACAGCCAACAAAGAAGTGAAAGACATTGTGATCACATCACTTAACTGCTGCACCAGGTGAGACTAAAGGTCCTCCCTTTGCATATCAGGATTCTGAGTACTACTCAGCTTCAGAAAAGCTCTCCTAGTCATGATGGCACCACTTCCCCCCAAATCAACAAAGATGTAGGCAGGGTTAAGCTGCAATTAATTCCAAGTGAGTGGCAAAAATTTTGCTTTGGCTTACAGATACATTTCACAAGGGACAGACACCCAATCTTCTTGCCAGAAGCAGGTAAGAACTGGTGTGAGCAAGAAACTTGCTGCTGCACACTAGCTGGTATAAGAATTATAGTGTTTACCTGGAAGAACTATTCTGGGGAATGCCAAAGGGAAAGATGCAATCATAACAAGCTGCAATTGGGAAAATGTACTAAATCATCTCCTTACATAGCCCAAGAATTGTTGACTCTGATTTTGAAATACAAGCATTCATGCAGCAGAAGCAAGGTCTCTAATGCTTACATGGGAGGACAGATGAAAATTCTCAATTTTAACCCACTTTATAAGGGCATTTATCAATTCTGTGGCTTTTTAGAGAAGAAATCTAAAAAAACAAAGAGCATAAAAACTGCATAATCTTTATACTCTTCTGTTCTTCTCCAGAGCAGTAGATTACAAAAACGTCAACGAATGAGTTGTTATGTCACAAAAAAAAAAGCTGGAGAGGGAACTCAATTGAGGAAAAAATAGCTAGGACACTAAATTTGGAACGTGGAAGAAAGAGGAAAAACATCTTCCATAAACTCAGCCAAAGCTAAATACAACTAAATAATCCAGTTTAATCAAGCCCATTAATCAAGGGACATGCAAGACAAAAGCCCTACATCCTACAGGTCCTACTCATGCTTCCACAAACCCAGGCAGCTTCATCCCAGAAGCCACTAGTCTGTCACCCTCCTCAGTCCTGTTGTTGTGTCCCACAAAATATCCCCTCCAGGACTCACTCCTGCAGGCTGCCTCTGGGCTCAGAGAGGGCCACACTCCTCCATTTAGGGTGGAAGAGGACAGGGAAAGCTAAAGCCACTCCCCACCACTGCCCCGAGGCACAGGATGGAAGCAGTGGAGCCTCTGTCTGGCTCATTCAGCAGGAAACAACCAAGGAAGCTGCAGCCATTGTCAGCAGCACTAGAAGGATGTGCTTTAAAGAACAGAATACTCTCTATTACCCACTTTAACATAGAAAAATTAAAAAACACATTTGTTTTGGATTATTATTATTATTATCATCATACCTGAAGATTCCTGCTATCTGAAGTTCAGTTTCACCCTTATCTGTCAGCTCAAAGACAGTAGCAGCTGCTCTCAGTGATCCTAAGGAGGACTTCATGATATGTATGGCTTGCTACACACAAGGAAAAAGCATTTTCTAAGTTCCTCAGAACTCTCCACATAATTCTGACACAAAGCAATTATAGAAGAGACAAGAATTTAAGGAACACAGAATTTCCTCTGTCTATGGCGAAGTTCCTGAAAAAATAAATTTTACTTCACAACATCAGCATGAATCAATCATAGAAAGTCCCCCACTCAACAAAGTGCCCAGGAGAGCTATGGAACAACTGAGAGCACAGGGGAAGCAAAGAATCACTTGTGACACTTTACAGGGAAGTCTACAGGGCCTTGTGCCCAGGAAGTGTGAAAATGAACTTAAACATCACCTTAATTGCATGAGTCAGTGTAGACTCAATGCAATAAGCTGATGGAAAGGAGCACAGACTGTAAAAGCATGTGAGAAAGTATCTCCTCTCCCCCAGTCTCTCAAAGAGTGCATATGGTTTGAATAGTGTCCCAAATGAGGCCCAGAGGCAGCACTCTGATATCAATCAGATCTATGAAACTCCTACAATAGTTGAAAATAGCAGAAGGAGGAGAGGGGAGAAAGTAAAATCAGAGTACCTTCTACAACCTGAGAAGAGGAGAAATAGAGAAGAGTTAAACAGAAGTCAACTGGTATTTAAACACAGGAAGTGAGGCAGAGATAGACAGAGGGAAGAAAATGAAACTGAAGAAGTCAGTTAGAAACACACACCAGCAATCCTCTTGGAAAAATGCAAACAAACATCCCAGAAGTGAAGCAATTTTATTTGGGCCTGGAAGACTCCAAAGCACTGAAATTGCTTCTTAGCTCACCCTCTGCTTGAAAGAATTAATGGCAAAATTCCTTCCCCAAAGGTGAGCAATCCATTAATCCTCCAGAATGACACTGTGATGAAAATTTCTTAGTGAGTCAGAACTTTGACCTAAATTAGCCCTTCAGGGGAAAAGTGATGAGGCAAAGGGACGAGGAGCACTTGTACCAAAGGTCTGTAATTAAACATTGTAACAGAGCACAGAAATACATCTCTGATTTTGGAGTTAAGAAGGGATCCAAGTAGAACAAGGGATGTGCTCACCAAAAGTATCTCCCTTGGGGCCATACACATGTTGAAACAAGAAAAGGCACACCTCAGACCCTCTGCAGTTACACTATGTTACTTTTCCTTATGCCCCTGTCTCAGCTCAAGCCAGGCTTGGCCATTATTTCACAGCTGATGAAAACTAAACATTTGATTCTTAGAATAAGACAAGATTACACAATGAACTGTGTATCAGGCTTAGTGACAAATAATAATCTTCTAACATCAAATGGAGAGTTGTCATAAATTAATGTTTTAAGGTTGCTTTCAAGGGGGGATTAGCCACAATCAGAGTTTAAGCCACAAGACCACTGAAATCCATGACTGCATAAACACCGTGCCACAAAAGTTTAAATGAGTCTAGAACGCACTGCACTACCTAGACAAAACCTCACAGGAATCACTGCCTACATACAACACAGTCTGCAGGAGGATTATACAATCATCTTCACATCCAGTGGGAGGCAATAAAAAGTATACACAACTTCAAAAAACATGCAGGATACCCCTCAGACTGCACTGCTATACCCCTTGTTTTCAAAGCAACGTTCCTGAAAAACCTGTCCGTTCCTGGCAGTATGGCCACGGATGACTGCAGGGGTGATGCCCACAGAACCCTGCCTCCCTGTGGTGCACCAAGGATGTGGCTAAACCCACCCGTGCCAGGGCCTGAGCCCTGCTAAACCCACCCGTGCCAGGGCCTGAGCCCTGCTAAACCCACCCATGCTGAGCCGACCCATGCCAGGGCCTGAGCCCTGCCAAGCCCACCCGTGCCAGGGCCTGAGCCCTGCTAAGCGCACCCGTGCTGAGCACACCCGTGCCGAGCACACCCGTGCCAGGGCCTGAGCCCTGCTAAGCGCACCCGTGCTAAGCTCACCCGTGCCAGGGCCTGAGCCCTGCCAAGCCCACCCGTGCCAGGGCCTGAGCCCTGCTAAGCGCACCCGTGCTGAGCACACCCGTGCCAGGGGCCTGAGCCCTGCTAAGCGCACCCGTGCTAAGCTCACCCGTGCCAGGGCCTGAGCCCTGCCAAGCCCACCCGTGCTGAGCACATCCGTGCCAGGGCCTGAGCCCTGCTAAGCCCACCCCGTGCCAGGGCCTGAGCCCACCCGAGACTGGCCACAGACAGCGTGGGGTACAGAAGCGGTGCCACAGAACAGCCACTGCCGTGCACCGCATGCTTGGGAAACCATCTACACGAGTGATGTCACCGCGGGGCTGCTCGATAGCCTAATAAAGACCATTTCTGGCAACTCTTTGAAACACACATTTTAGTAGAGACTTTAGCAGAGATCCCCAGAACGATGACCAAGTTCCCAGGAAACCCAGTGGGGATGATACCCGCTCTGGAAAGTAGGGCAGGATGCCCGCTCTCCATTCAGCACGGGCCTGCCGAGCGGGGGGCGTGGGGCGCTGCAGGAGTCGCCCGGGGAGCGCACCGCAGGCACGGCCCGGCCGGAGCCGCGCTGCCCCTGCTCGCCCCGGGCCGGGCACCGACCTTCCCCCCATTCCCTGCCCGGGAACGCCGGGGCTGCCGGCACCCAGGGGCGGGGCTGCGGCTCCCCGCGGCGGCCGCGCACCTGGTGAAGGCGAAGGCCATGAGGCTGAGGATGGTGAAGCTGAGTAGGGTGATGGTGTGCGGGCGGTAGAAGAACTCTAGCGTGATGTCCTCCACCTGCTGCTCGTTGATCATGCGGAAGTGCAAGCGGTAGTTTACGTCGTCCTTGCTCAGGGTCCGGCTCCCCACGCACGACGCCATCTCGCCCCCTCTCTCCTGTCGTCTCAGCGCGGCTGTAGATGCGCGGGGCGGCGCGGCCCGAACCAGCCCGGCCGCCCGCCCGTGCCGCGTCCCGCCGAGCGCAGCCGAGCGGGCCGAGCGGGGCAGCGCCGCGCCCGCCGCGCCGAGGGGCGGAGCTCGCCCGCCGCGCCGAGGGGCGGAGCTCGCCCGGCCGCGCCCACGAGGCGAGGGAGGGAGAGAGAAACGGAGCGCGGGAGGGGAGTTGGCTGCGCCATACCGCCCTTTTATAACACGCGGAGAGAAGGACGCTGCTGCCTACTCCCCCCTGTTTCCTTCCGAGTGGTGTCGCCCAGGCCGGGCCGGGGAGCGGGGCGCACACGTGGGCCGCGCCGTGCCGCGCCGCGCAGCGCCGCGCAGCGCAGGTGAGCCCCCGGTGGGTCCCGCTGTTCCCGGGCCGGGTGGCACTGTCACTTCTCCCGCAGGCTGCGCGCAGCGGCTACCGGCGTGGGGAGCTCTGCGAGGGGAGGACGGCGGGCGCGGCCCGACTCAGCCTCCCCGCCCTGTGCGGTTTTACGCGGAGGGCCACGTGCCCCCGGGAGGGCTTAGGTCCTGGCTGGGCTTCCCCATGCTCCCGAGGGAACGGCTGTCCTAGAGGGCGGCGGGTGGTGGCCTCAGACCCGGCTCCTCCGTTTGTGGCGCGTTTAAAGCCTGAAGTCCGTAGGTGGCGCTTTGTAGCGAGGGGTTGCTGTAACGCCGGGGGATTCACGCTCCCGGCTGTACGGCGAGGCGGGCAGCGCCCGTATCACCCCGCGGCTTTTTCCTGCCCGTAGGATGCCGTGCTGCGGTGGGTGATGGCCGTGTGGGCTCGGCACGCCGCCCGCTGGGGCTGCCTGCTGAGCACAGCCCGTGCTGCTGCTCAGCTTCCTCGGCGGCTCGGGGTTGCCGCCTGCCCCGCACGGGCCTGCCCTGAGCTGGCCCGTCGGGCTGTGCCGCCCGCTGGAAGGGAGGCGGCTCTGTGCGGACTGCAGGGGCGCAGGCGGCTGTCCGCAGGGAGCTGCTCCCCGCCCGACAGCGCCAAGGATGCGGCCTTCTCTGCTCCCGAAAGTAACCTGCCTTCAGTGCAACAGGAACAAGCAAAACCAGAAATATTACCTGATCTGAATGCAAAAATACTGGACGAAGGTAAGAGGCTTTAAGGGATACAATTTCTCCCGAATCCTCAAATTATGTTTTAAGTATGCTGTGGTTCAACCCCAACTGGGTTCTCCTTTTTTGCCCTGTTTGCCTAAAATATGTGTCTGGATTTCCTGACTTTCACTTCTGATTAGCTCCGTAGTTAATTCAGATAGTTATGGTCGATGTGGCATGCAAAGAATACCTTTAAAGTGAGATAAAGGTATAATGTTTTGGGTAGAAATGTAGGTCTGGAGCTGCTCTTTGAAGGAGTTTTCATAACCCTACCTGCATCTGTTTGCCTTTCCCTCGCAGATGTACCAACTAAAGGGTTTTGGTTTGGGGGTTTTTGGGCGTTTGGTTTTGATGTTTTTTAATTTTTTTTTTTTTTTTGGTTTGGGGGTTTTTTGCCCTTTTTTTTTTGTCTTAGTTTTTTTTTGTTTTGGTGGTTTTTTTGTTTGGTCCGTTGTTTTGTTTTTGTGGGGGTTTTTGTTTTGGTGGTTTTTTTTATTTTGAGTGAGGCTGGGAGAAGCTCACACTCCACGGTTTGAGGGATCAGGAAGGACCAACAGGAGGCAGTGGTGTGAAGCCTCCTCAAGCGCTGCTCTGATGAGAAATGCTCACCCAACTGTCTTCTGAGGAAGGGACACGAAAGGAGATAAATGCAGCGGCGCCTTGGTGTTGTTGCCCTGAGGAAATTTACTCACTTTTTACCCCTACTTTTATATCTAAACAAAAAGTATAATATTTCCATCCTTTCAAATTACTTTAGGTATGCTGAGGAAATCTGCTCTGAATTACTGAGCAGCTTTGTATGTTCAGATTCTGCTTTGAGCCCAGCCAGCCTGGATTATACAGAGCTTATTATTTGGGGTGGCTCAGACCTGCAGCAGAGATCTGTGTGTGTAGCTGGTTCTGAAACAGTGCTGCACCAAAGTGATGGGTCAGCCAGCTGGTTTGTGGCTGCACCTGCGATGTGGTTTATCCACTTGCCAGATTGTTATCAGCCAGCAGACTGACTGGAGAATGTGTGTGTGTAGCATTTTGCCCAGTTGTCAGTCTGTATAATGGAGTAAACATAATTGATAATTTTTGGAGGTTTTGGTAACTTGAAGTGTGATTCCCAATAGGAAGTGTAAGGACCTTAAAGTGGCAATAAAATACCTGTATGCATGTGGAATGGACTTAATTGTATATTGCTTTGGTCCTCAACAAGTTGAAAAAAACCACTTGATATTCCTATATATTCCTAGAGGGTTCCTGTTCAATGTGTAAATGTTGCTGAAAGCATTGTACTGTGCTTTTGTTTCTGAGGCTATGAGAAAAAGACAAGACCTTCAATAGCTATCAAGCTAGTGTGTGCAACTCTTCCTGGAGCATTAGGCACATCCTAATTACTTTGGAGCTACACGTAGAGTTCTAGTGTGCCTTTGTTTCTTGACTTGGAAGAGTGTTGCCCTGGTCTCTCAGAGGCCATTATACAAAGGTATAGAGCACTGAAAATCCCCTTCCCAAAGAGTTATAATCAGGGCATCTGATCAGTAATCAAACTGATGATTGATGTGGATCCTAGCAGCTAGCCTGCAAACAGCAATCTTAATCTCGCTGCTGTGAAGTCATATCTATGGAAAAATAGATCTGTTTAGAGAATTTGTTCTTTAAAGACCTTGAGTTCTGTGACTTGGAACACTTGGGGGAAAACAAGCATAATAATGTTCCCTTTGAAACCATAGTGAGTAGGAAGTTATTCCTTTTGCTGTTAGAGATAGTGGCAGTCAGCTGCCTTTCTGTAATGGATAAGACATAATAGCCTGGCTGGAGTTGGCTGTGAAATACATTGAAAGTTAAAACAGCTGCATTCCAGGCTGCATTTTCAGGAGAGCCACAAAGTAGTGGGCTGGTCAGGTTATGAAAAATAATCTTGGCAGTAGCCTTTTATCTGGCTGTGATCAGGCTAGGATGCATTTGTGAAGACATGAAAGAGGATCCTTTTACAGAGGGTGATTTGATCTCTTGTCTGCAGTGTCTAGGCAGCAGACTGGCAGGCTTGCTGGGTACTACTCTCAGATTTGGCCATATGAGTAAAAGTTGATGGGCAGTGACCAGGAGATGGAACAGAGGCAAAAACTGGGAGCAGAGTTTATGTTTACATGTTTTCAAATAGTAGGTTGGCTGTTTATCACATGGCACAGTGTTCCTGCATTTTGGAAAGGATTTTAAGAGATCTGTATAGCATTTGGTGGGAGCAGCTTTGTCTTTCACAAAATGCATTTGGGTTTTCTATATTTGTTTCTCAGACTGGGATGACATCCCACCTTCATCTGCTCTGGAAGTGATTTCTGAGGAAGAAGCTGTACAGATCATTGCAGAACCACTTCTCCCCATTCAGTCTTCCACGCTCCGAGATTACGTTGATCACTCAGAAACCCTTACAAAACTTGTCCACCTAGGTATGTGTGATTTTGTTTGTGTGCTCTGCCTATGCAGAGCTTTACAGATCCTGTCATTTGTGCTTTGCTCTTACTGGTTACCTTGAAAATGGGAACAGTGACCCATGGTGAAAAGCTGCAGAATGTTATCCAGGGTAAACAGACAAAAGGAGGGGACTGTGTCACTAACAGTGCCATACTGCTGGGAAACAAAGCTGGCTGGTGTTAGTCCCTTAGTGCTCTGTTAGAAGGAGGCATCTCCCACAGGTTCAGGAGGTGGCAATCACTGTGTAATTTAATTTAATTGGTCTTTCTTCTTTTGGGCTGGTTAAAAATGCTTTGATTTGCTGCAAAACAAGCTGCAGCTCTTCATCCTTGGAAGGAAAGAAAGAGAATGGTTGCTATGCATAACATTAGGAGTGAGGCACAGCACACTGGAGAGGCAAGAGGGAAGTGTCAAAAAAACTTGGACTACAGAGATGCCCAAGTTCAAGCTTTCTCACCACCTTGTTCCCCAAACGTGCAAGGAAGACTGGAAAGAGGTTGGAGAAATTAATACTTGAGAGGAGGAATCTGTCCCCATATAGTAAGAAATTGTCATGTGTGAGTCAGTGTACAAAGGCCCTTCATTGCAAAATTGTCATCTCCCCTTTTATAACAGATTTGGAAATTTCATGTGCACATACTTCTGTGCAACAAGAGCAGGTCTCTAAATGTGGCACATGCAGGTTTCACTGCAAAGGTCTTTCTTCAAAAAATAAACTCAGCAAAAGCTTCTAAAATGACTGCTTATTTTATCTGGAGTCTTTCCACAATATACAAGGTATAGCTTTGCTGTGTTGAGTAATTAAAGTATGCAAAATCAGTGCAAAAAATTGAGTAGTCCTATAAATTCCAGCATGCCTTTGGGAAACAGTTAGAGAAAGCAGGGTCTGTGTTTAATTAAAACAACTTCTAATTTTGTTTATTGTAGGAGTTGACTTATCCCAAGTGGAGAAACGTCAAAAGGCAGGTCAGCTCTTACTGACCTTGGACTTTGAAAAAGATGTAAAAAAAATACTTCTGTTTCTTAAGGATGTGGGTGTAGAAGACAATCAACTAGGACCATTCCTGACCAAAAATCCATACATTCTTGGTGAAGATCTGGAAGCTTTAGAAACCAGGTAAGCCTTTCAAGTAGTAGCAGGGTGTTAAAGCCCCTTGGCTTGAAGATCTGGTTTCCCAGAACAACTCGTGTATGTATGTGCATGTTTAATGAACTCAAAACTTCCCAGTACTCCAGAGAAAAAGTCTGTCATCTTGGCTCTTGCATGTAGTAGCATTTCTATCTGAAACAGAAATCTGAAAGTACCAATGTTTAGAAACAGGCACAAGAGTAGACTCTTGTATAACATAGACCTAACTTCTTTCTCCTCTGTTCTTCTAATCTTGTGTTCAATAAGTGGCCTTTCAGAAACAATATCCAAAAAAATACCCTATGTCATTTTTCCAGAAGTAGTTTTGAGTTTAGGTATCAGACCAGACTGCTCTTCTGAAGAGACGCTTGGGGTTTTTTTTGTGATAAATATCCTAACTCTTCCATTAAGTCAGATTTTCTTTTCAGTGACACTCCTGTGGCACTGGCTGATTAGTAAAGAAGGGGCTAAACAGAGCAATCCAATTTCTTCTTAATTTTCTGCAGTATGATTCTTCTGTAAGTTTGACACTGGTGAATGCTTTCCTGCAAGCTTTAAAGTAAGTGTGTGTGCTGTAAAGGCTGTGAAGTGAGTGTGTCTCAAATAGCTGTCTTTTGAAAGCTGAGTATCACCTTTGCATAAACAGTTCGGTGCAGATGGACGTGGTATTGGTTACATCACTCTGGAATGTTTTATTGCTATGGATCCCATGTTGCCAGGAAACAAAACAAAATTTCAATAGGTTTGGCATTTGACTTCAGATAAACACTGTAAAAGTCAAAACATTCCATAATTCCTAGCAATTTTGACAGTTGCAAATCAGTGTCTGTACTGCAGCTGCACCAGATGCTTTGTTTTATGCTGGTGTTAATGATGACTTAAAACTGTTAACATGCTACAGAGAACTGCTGAGCCCTGTAGTGGAACGAGGGCTGACCTTGGTGCCAGCACTCACGGATGTATCTCAGGCTTTGGCCAGGTTGGATAGTTGTGTTCCTTTAATATTTTAGTTTCTACAGTCAAGTTACTACAATCTTGCCATTCCTCTTTTAAGTTTCTTGCCTTTCCAGGAAGAAACACTTCAAGTGTGAATCTTAATGGCTTGTTAACAGAAAGAAGTGGAGTTGGGACAGCCAAAAGATTTGATTTTTATTCTGCTCATTTAGCTGTTTCTGGGATGCTTGGAAGCTGTGCCAATTCCGTTGTCATTGTCTGGAGCCTAGGGTGCTACCTTCTGTGTTGGGGTGCCTGCTCAGTTAGGAATTGGTCCTCTAGAGCTTGTTTTTATATCTTCCATCTGGGAGTTTTTGGCTTGTGATAATTTCTGAGGATTTGTGGAAAGAGGGAAGTTGAGTGACTGGAAGGTAATTTTATTTTTTTTCCTCTCCACAAGACATAGTTTAACAAAAAGCCCATTTTTTACTGAATATCTGCTTCTGCAGAATATTCTGCAACCCATTTATTATCTTAATTACTACCAGATAAGGCAATTCTTGTATGCTCTAAGTTGATCTGACTGCAAATACTTCTCATATTGCAACTACTTTCATCTATAACCAGAAGAAGCCTCTCCAAATTGTAATTTAGTTGTTTAGTACATGGTCGTATGTGGATTAATTGTGTCTCTTTACTTGGTGTGCTGTATTTGTCCTCTTCAAGCATTTTCTTCTGGGAGCTGTGGTAATCATCTACTGCAAGTGGGACTTGAAATAGGATTTCACTTTCACTGAAATCAAAGTTTGGAAAAAGTTTTGACTTGGAAAGAAGGAAGGAAAGCAAGCTCTGTTAAATATCAAAACCTTAGTCAACTCCTCTTGCTTTCTGACAACCAGATGTTTGTTGCTCGCTTCTTAGACCAGTGACTGAAAATAGGGCAAACACAACTTCAGCTGATGTAGAAATGTCTTTTTCGACAATATCTCTACACACAGCATCCTTGTATGATATTTCTACTCCGATGCTATTGGCAAAACAGGAGTGTATGAGGTATAGACTCCGTTCCTTCAGCAGTAGAAATGGAATTCATTAAAATAGCAAAAGGCTGTATATATCTTCTTGTCCATACCCTATTAATGTGTTTGCAGTCTAGGAGACAGACTAGTAGTTAACTGTAGGTTAACATTGTTATCTGCTTAAGTACAGCTGGAAGGAATTAAAATCTGTCTTCAGTATTGACATTCTGCTCTGAGGTTTATTTTACTTCTAATTAATTGGAAGGGAGGGTATTTTGCTTTTACGATAACTTCAGATTTCACCTTAATTATTTTTGGCAAGGTTGCATGTTAATGCTAGAACATCTGTCCATTTATAAGATATCATTGAGGAATTTAAGTTATCACTGAATAAATGGAGGCAATATAATTTTCATCACTGGATTTTATTTTGTTTTTGTTCTCTTTCTAGAGTGGCTTACCTAAAATCAAAAAAATTTGGTAAGTCAGAAATTGCTCAGATGGTCTCAAGAGCTCCATATTTGCTGTTGTTTTCAGTGGAAAGATTGGATAACAGACTGGGTTTCTTCAAAAATGAACTTGGTCTCAGTGTAAAAAAGGTAAAGACTGAAGTGTTCAGGTATTTTGTTAGTGACAGTTGTAAGGTCTTGCAATATGAATACTCCAAAGTGTTTGGAGATTATCAACAAACATTATGTTAACACCAGCAATGTCACTAGAGGGTTATAGGAGGGTAACATGGTTTTAACTGTCTGTGGAAGTGATATGGACACCTGACATTCAGAGGACCTGAAGTACAGCTTCTGAAGATGACCTGCTACAGTTTATTATCAAATAAGCATGTGTATGTCCAGTTCTGTTATTTGAGGTGGGTCAGAGGACTGAATTAATTACTGAAACAGCAAGCAGCTCTTTTAACTTCTGGAAAATTATTTGATGCTCTTCATCTCTTCAAGATACTTCAACATACTTAAAAATTATAAAAATAGTCTAATTTGTGAGTATCTTATAAAGATAAATGCCAAATCATACACTCAGCTCACCAAGAGTGACCTCTGTGTTTGCTCATGGTTGCATACCATATTACATACTTAGTGGGTATTCAGCACCTTGCTTTGGATCTTCAGGGCAGGTAGTAGCTGGACTTGCCTGGAGTAAGTGGGCAGTGTTAGTTGTGTCCTGCAGTAGGTGGGGATTGCAATGAATACCAAATTCCAAGTGGAATCTTGGGTTCTTCTATTAGCTGCTATGAACAGTCATAGCTGCTACAGTGCTCTGTTGCTGGCCTTTCCATATTTGAGGTGAGACATTTCCTCGGAAAAAGGTTTAGCCACCACCTTGTACTCAGGGTGGACTGCAAGTAATCAGACACTTCAGGGAATGTGGAGTATTTCTTGTAGTGCTGTTACACTGTGGTCTAACCAGATTCAGAAGTTAGCTCCACTGCCACTAAAAACCCTTTTACAGCTTCCATTGGGTGGTGTGTTGTTTACTTTTTTTAAAAAGATAGGAAGAAACAACTTGAGGGCTGAGAGAAATTGAGTACTTGAGCTTACTTCCTCCTTTTGATGCATGCTTTTACTCCCTCTTCCTATCAGCTTTACATTGTATTATTTTTTGTTTTCTAAAAGAACATATTTGAGTAATGTTTTGCGTCTTAACATACTGCTGTTTCATGCAAATTCATCTTAGATGTAGAGATAAAATGAAACACGAAATGAAAAAAAAAGTTTATATAGGATCTTTCTTTCAAAGCCTTCCATAAAACTCATTAATTTATGTGTTTTTCTGATTGTAGACAAAGGATCTGGTAATTCGTCTTCCAAGGCTACTGACTGGCAAAATAGAGCCTGTAAAAGAAAATCTTCAGGTGAGCTTATGAATAGATATTAAAAGTGTATTTTATATAGTTGAAGAGTTGTCAGGAGATAAAATTCTTGTAGGGGATTGTGTAGAAAGAATTTAATGAAATAATTTTGGTGGTGATATAAAGCAACTGTTAAACCATATCTTTTCCTCTATAGCATGTAAGCTCACTCAATGCATGGAGCATTACCTTATTCTCTTTTCTACTCTGATGCATTGCCTTCCTGCCAAAAGTTGCTATATGATGACATAAATGGTTGCCCACTTTTAATGAGTAGAAAAATACTCAAGTCTTTTTTTCCCTCCCCTTAATTATTATGGTTTTTTGCTAACTTGGATTGTCCGTGAGTATTTAGGAGCAAGAAATGTGCAGTTGATTATTTTTCTCCTGGCAGGTAACTAGCCTGCCAAAATGTGCATTTGACACCTATTGGCTGATAGCAGATGGTCATTATTAACAACTGTTGGGTAAATAACTTCAAACCCATGGGGATTCCTTTCCCTTCTGAAAATGTAAGTGTATTGCTTTAATTACTGTGCTGTAAAGCCATTGAGGCCAAACAGCATGATGTAGTGTAACAATTTGTGAAATTCCATTATTCTATAACAAATAACTATAAATCAAAATGTATAATTTTCAGACAGACTCACTGTTCTGAAACTATTAAACACTGGAAGTCTTGCAATCTGAAATGCTTGTGTGGTAAGGGAGGAGACTGGAAAGTAGCAGACTGTTCTAATTAATAGTGCTTTCTTTTAAACACACATTGTTTCCACAGGCTGGGGAGCCATTATTATAATGAATGTGTTTTTGAGGTCTTTAGTTCTATGTGACTATCTTGTTTAGCCACCAAGAAATACAGCATAGCACCTCTATTTTTAAAATGTGTGAGAAAGGGAAAGAAAGGAAGCAATTTTTAGGTCCCCACTGTTGGAATCTACTAATTCTTAAAAGCTCAAGCTTTTCAGGAGGTTGGATTCAGAATCTGTGTTCAGACCTGTATGTCCTAAACTGGACAGTACTTGGAAAGTGAAATCACATACCAACAGTTCTGAAGTGATCAGGTTGCATCCCTCATTCTGCATGGACTGTAATTTAGAAACAAGTACAGTAGCTGATCTTGGTTGTCGTAAGATACCAGTCATGGACTAAATGTGCTGAAGGATTGCTTAGTCCATCCTCTGAGGGTTTAATCAAGCACAATTAGAGATTCATTGACAGGGTAAAACCTGTCAAAGCTTTCATTACCACTGCGTATTGTGGGAATAATACATACTTTGTTGACTATTGCTGAGGCTTACGCAATAAGGATATTAGCGTGTGTGGCCTAGAGAGTTATTGAATATTAAACATGTTTGCTGTCAGACTGAGTGCAGTCAAAGCAACTTACACTTGAGCTCACTGATCATGTCGAGGGAGCTGTTCCATGTCACAGAGTAGAAAATAAAAGCTCAAGATTCTTGCCACCGTTACCTCTATAGTGGGCCCAGCTTTATCTCTGCACTGATTTAACACAGGGTCTTAACTCCGGTTGTGTATCTTGATGCAGGAGGTTACCCCTGCCAGCTCAGGTCCGTGGAAGGTACCACTCATGTGCAAACACCTATTTCCATACTTGAACGCTGTCTCAGTTGATTGGTATTTTGTGTGGTGCACAAATATTTATAAAGCAGAAAAGCTAAAATGAGGAGTTGAAAGACCTGATTATAGTTGCCTCTAGAAACAGTTCCCTGTAAGGATTTGGAAGTCCTAAGGTAAATTCAAAACCCGGATTCTAAGCCCTTCCCTTCATATTTGACAAGCAGTTCTGGAAAAAAGCCACAGTCTTGGCACGTCAAACTGGGCAAACAAAAACACCACCTTCTTGCCAATTGAAGTACCTTAGTTTGATATGAAAGTCTGGTTATGTTAGCTGGCAAGCACACCCACTTCATGACTGCAAACAAGCTGCTTGTAAGTGTCACTGGAGGATAGAAGAAATGACTGAGTTAACAGACACTCTTGTATGCTGAATTCTTTTTCAACAACTCAATGAATTGCTTGCCATTCTGCACTTTGGGAGGAGTGCTCATGATTTTATTGAAAAAATGTGTTTCGTTTTCCTTTTGGGAAATCATAATTGAAGTCAAGTCAGTCTCTGAAAAAGACATCTTACTTTAGACTTTATTGAACTGTAGAATAAATCAAATACCCTATGTATTCTACACATCTCTTTTAAGTTCAGCAGTCTTAAGTTGAAAACTATAGAAATTATACTCTCTATTTTAAAAAATGTACCTTGGATACATTAGCAAAAGTAGGCACCAGCTATTCAATTGCTGTGTTTTACAGAGCTCAGTAGCTCCATAGGAAGAAAGTCTCTTGACAGCTTGGTATTGAAAATGATAAAGGACTCTTTGGGGAAAATCTTTATGCTTTTAACTGCCATACATATAGAGACGTGGCTTTTTTGTTCATGTCTCAGACAAACTGAAAAATACATAATATTCACAGAAGTTATCCTTATTTTGGGGATAATTTATAAAAAAATTACACTTTAATCTAGAACACTAAATAATTTGTATTGTCTGACTTGAAAAGAACTGAAGTGGCAGATATTTTTGTGGTTTTCATTCTTGTTGCTGTGTAAAAAAGAATAGAAGAATTTTGCATTAGTTTATTTCAGTGGCACATTAAAATAAGCTGAGTTTGCTGTTTGTAAAATAAACTGACTTGCAAAGATAAAATTGTGCTCTTTTTCAGGTTTGTCAAATTGAACTTGGTTTTCAACGTAATGAAATTCAACAGATAGTGTGTAAAACTCCCAAGATTTTAACTGCAAGTAAAAAGAGACTCAAACAGACATTTGACTACTTACACAACATAATGGGCATTCCCCACCACATGCTTACTCGCTTTCCTCAGGTGAGCTATTGATCTGGGAATAAATTGTAGGTGCTCCTGTCACAGCCACTTCACTGATGTGCTGAAGGTGGAGCCTTGCTCTGTGCAGAACATAAGTGAATTCTCCAGCTAGCCTGTGGCTTTTACTCTAATTGGGATAACTTCTATTAGCAATCCAGAAACTATTGAAGATTTCCAATGGAACTGCTGCTTATTTTCCATTAGCACATGTGACATCACTACCCCCAGTCTTGTGATATTTAAGGTTTTTAACAGAGGTAGTCATGCTAATCTCTTCTGTGTTCATGCAAGAGAGATTACTGCCTGCTTAGGGATTTGCTTGTCCTGAAATCTTACCTAAGAGACACAAGAGAAGACAGATTATGAAGAAGATCTGTTCATTAGGTAACATTATATATATAAATATAAACATTTCTTTCAGGTTTGTCTACTTAAAAAATAACCTTTAGAAATTGTAGGATCTGAAAATACAGTGTAAAGGTAAGAGAAGTTCTGTCCATTAGACAATTAGATTATCCTTGGTCTTCTTATTGCTGCAGCAATTGCTAAAATACCACGGGATTGAAAATAGATTTGTTTCTTGATTACTATTTTGGGTTTTTTCCTACCTCCTCATTACTGCCATTTCCTCACAAATTGAAAGCTAAAAGTGTTAGTCACTTCATTCAATGCCTACATGCAGTTGCACTATCTTCTTATAAGGTAAAAATGAAAGCAGAAATTTCAACTTCTGAACTGCAGTAATTTTCTTTCTAAAGCAAGTCTAGTAGAGAACCTAAGTGGCTAGAAAGCCAAAATTGCACAGAGGAATAAAACTATTCAGGATTTTTATTATCTTGCTATTTAATCTATCTTTACTTAACAAGGATGCTTGCTTTTATGCTCAACTTTGTTACTTTGCCCTCCTTGATCTGTAAATGACGACAACAAGTTTTGCTCACTTCTTCTCAGTTGTCTTGTTGTTGGCTTTATGGTGGTTCACCTCATTATTTTTCTTCCTTTTGTTTGGTAAGGTGTTTCCTCTATTCCTTATTCTTGGCACAGTCTCTCCCTCTCTTTCCTGTTCTTCCCTTTCACCCTTGAAAACTGAATTCCAGGATACAGGTAGTGCACATCAGTCTGCATATGGTTGGGCCTTAACTTGTGCCTTCACAAATACATATTTATCTCCATCAGTACTCACTTTTATCCTGATTGACAGTAATGTTAAAAATAGGAAGTATACAGGTTTTTTTTTTTTTGTCAATTTCTATCTGATGTTACAGTTGCTCTGGTAGCCATTCTGTCAGCTACAAATGGTGATTAAGTGTTTTTTTTTAATTTCTTCTGTATTTTGACTGCCTCTTAAAATTCAAGAAGGCAGAGGAGGAGCAGTAGTTTTGTTTTTCCCTCCTTGTTCAAATTAGTTTGCATCCTCATGGAACTCTTCTTCCATCAATGGAGTCTCTTTTTTAGTAAAATCTCTTCTTCCTGTGGCATTCATATGTTCATCAATATTGCCTCTATAGCATCTCTCTCTGTTCAGTTGTACTGCTCAGGAATGAACTTCGATCTTTGCTTTTACGACGTAACTGTGCGTCTCATCTTCCCCACTTCCTTCTCTTTTCAAATGTTCTGCTGATTTCTTTTGTGTTTCCCCTACCATTGTTCTCATCTTTGTCTGTCTAGATTATTTTTTGTGGCAGGTATCTTCAAAGGTAGGCATTGCTGTGCAGCAGAAGACAAATGGTTGCTTTGAACCACCACACTGTGCCTTTTGGCACGTTATCATGACAGGAGTCACATCCACTCACCTCTGCCCTTGCCACCGTGCCAGTTTATTTGCATTATGCCCTGTGGTCACCTCTTCATTTTTTCCTTGTAACAGTGGTTATTTGAATCTGTCTAAAGCTAGAGGGAAGGTGCTCCCTGTTACTGAATGTCTCCACTGTCTTGGCTGTGATTACACAGTAATTACAAAGTATTATAGTTGTTATATAGAAACAACTCTCAAGCACATTAGGTTTTTTGTATCACTCCCTGGGTTTTATTGTGTATGTCAGCATATTGTATTGGAGTATTTATTTAGAGTTTAGATAATTTATATATAAATGTAACCTACCTGGTGTTTGACGTAAACTAAAGGAAAATAAGCATATTATTTGTTTGCTTCCTAGAGCTTCATTTTGGCTAAAAACAGCTCTAATTTTTGATGCCTCGGGGTCTGAAATTTAGACAACCTAAAAAATGGTTCCCTTTTTTCTTTCTTAGGTTTTCAACTCAAAGCTATTACGAATCAGAGAGAGGCATATGTTTCTTGCCTTCTTGGGAAGAGCCCAGTATGACCCAGCCCAGCCCAGCTACATCTCCCTGGATCAGCTGGTATCCCTGCCCGATGAGGTGTTTTGTACAGAGATTGCCAAAGCCTCTATGCAGGACTTTGAAAATTTCTTAAAAACACTTTGATTAGTAACACATGTAAAAAATTATAGAATTAAGTTGCAAAATAAAGATACTTTATAAAACTACTTCCCTTTAAGGTCTCTTAACTTTTTAATTACTGGTTTAAGAAGTCATTGTTTATGAAGCGTGTAGGATTTAAAGGATTACAGTAATACTTATAGTAGCCTAAAAATGTATTTCAGAAGGATTGAGCCAATATGTTGATTGCTACTAATGCAAGCCTTGTAATTAATCACCAACTTAATTCAGAGTGGATGATGCAGCACATTAACAGAAAGGTAAATTCAAATTCCTCTTTTTTTCTTTTGATAATGGCAGAATTTTGGGAGATAGGGAATAAGTCACGAGCCAGTTTTCCAGTCTTGCCCTCTGTTATCTTCTCCTTTCACTCTCTTGCCCAAAAGTTAGAATAGCAAGATAGTGTGATAGTGAAGTAATGTGTTTACTTGCTTGAGCTAATAGTAATAATGTTATTCTTTCCCTTGTATGGTGGAAAGAATCACACCATTAATATGTGAAGCTCCTCATACAAAAAGGCATTTTATCAATAGGTTACAAAGGTGTTTCTTGCCAAAGCTGGCCGCTGAAATTGGAATCCTGAAAGCTGGTTAGAAAAGTCAAAAAAACCCGCAGCAAATGGAATTTAGGAAAATTATAAAAAGAAAAAAAATAAAGATGTTACTATCCCTGAAATCTAGAAGAACTTTATTTTAGTTACTTTTCTTTTCCCCGTGTTCAGTTTTTCTCCCCCCCACACCAAGGAGATTCATGTGGCTTTAATACACAAGTAACCATGTGAAAAGAGGCTATAGTATATATTAACGTGATAAGAGTTGGTCAGTTGTAAAAGCTGGAGTAAATTCTGACATTGGGCATCATGGGAATATTGAAAATACTTAAACTTATCATTAAACAAAGCATGTTAATATGGAATTATCAAATGCTTCACAGTGTATTTGTGAAACAAATTTCCAAACAAAACAAAAAAGCTGCCTAAATCCACATACTTTGGATAAATTCTTATGCATACAAATTAAGAACTAGAAAAATAAATGCTTGAAACACATTGAAAAAACCACATTCATTGTCTGCAATATATATCTGAGATGATCTCTTTTGTCTTTTTTCTCATGTTTTCTGTTCCATTGGCCTGGAAAGATTGCTTGAAATACTCTATTGAATAGACTGTTCTTGGTGGAGATGCATAACACATTTCATGGTGGCTGAAATGTGCTGACTAAGCACTTCCCTCCATTTCCTCCTGTTAAGTAAAAGTATCCAAAGTCCAATATGCTTACTTGGATTTTTGACTGTATTAAATGCTAATAATAAACTGTAATTTTCAAATAATATTGTAAAAAATAATGTTTACAGTAAAAATGTTAATAGAAAATATGTGGGTTCATAATGTTGGAGTTAACTTTTGCAGACTTTCTCCACTAGCCTTATTACTATGTGACAAACCATTGAACAGAAGTTGTATTACAGAGTCTGTATATTTTGAATGTCTCAAACGTTGAGCTTTAACTTCCTTTAATAATTTTAAATGTAGGAATGATTGCTGCCAGAGCGAAACCAGGTTCTTTGAATTGTTGAATTCACAAGCTGCTACCGAAATAGCTTCCCCGAACCACGATGAAGAATGGACACAAAACATTTAAAGGGAGTGCTAAAATGGAAGGAGAGAGGGGATCGAAGAACTTTCTGAGGATCATGACAAAAACTTTATGGCTTTAAGATTAAAAATAAACCACAAACTTCTGGCTGAAATTATCCACTGCGTTACCTATTACCTATTTCTTCCCCCCACGTCTGTATTTTGTCTCTTTCAGACGGCAGTGGTCCCTTCCTGCAGGAAGGCCTGGGCAGATGCAGCGCTCTGTGCCACCCGCTCACCTGGCGGCTGCGATACCTGAGCAGAGCTAGCTTTCTGTTCCTTGGCGTGACCCATTGTTGCTTTGCTTATCGTGCTTTACAAGGCGAATTTTTATTTTTCTGTGGTTTTCCTCTGTCACTTATTCCTGCCCCGCGGCCAGAGCGCAGGCGCCGCCGCTGGGCCGGCATTGGCGGGCCCGCCCCCCCGCGCCGTACCCAAGAGGCCGCGCGGCGCCGAGGTCAAGATGGCGGCGAGGGCGCCTGGTGAGGCGGCGGGGCGCTGAGGGGCAGCAGGGGCGCTGAGGGGGCGGCGGGGCCGAGTCTGTCCCTGGCCCCCTCCCGCCTGCGGTGCTGGGCTCACCTCGGCCCGTGCTGGGCAGCGAGGCGGGCCGTGACCGGGGGAGGGGGAGCCGGTGTGCACCGTGTGCCCTTGACAGGGACAGCGAGTGCCGGTTCCAGAGCCGCCGGGCGAGTCTCCTCGGCGGCCTTCCCGCGGCAGGGGGGGAGCCTGGCCCCCACAGCTGAGCTGTGTGGGTGCAGAGAGCGGTCGGGAGCACTGGGGGAAGCCTTGGGCTGCTCCTGCGGGGCCTCGGGATTTGCTGTCCTGCGCGAGTACCCACTCGGCGCGCAGTCGGGCTAAGGTTATTCCTTGTCTGGCCCTGAAAGACGAAGGGATAGCTAAGCAACCTGCTGAGGCAGTGCTCTAATGAGCTCTTTTGGGGTGTTTTGGGGATGACCTGGTAAGACAGATTACTTAAAAGTCACGTAAAACAGCTCGCCGCACTGCGTTGCCCGTGTCGTGCCGTTCGTGGCCTTCTAGACCCCTTGTTGAGGTATTTGATTATGTGTAAAAGCACCTCTGCCGTCCCAAACCACAGGAACGTGCTATATGTGGTATGGAGGTCTGGGAGTTTTTTTGTCTGGTTAATTTTCTTTTGTTTGGTTGGGATTTTTTTGAGGTTTTAGTGTGGATTTCATGATTGACTTCGGCAGCTCCTAGAAAAAGAAGTAGCATTCAAGTATCTGGAGAGGAGAGCAGAAGGTTAGCAATATAATAATAGCTGAGCTTGAAGTCACATAGCGACAACCAAGGAACCTAGATAAAATATTGGAAAAGCCTGATGGTTTTGCTTTATGCAGACACTATGGGTTTGGCTCATATAAGTGTTACAGAGTCTAAGAGTTTTGTTGCTGTCTTTGATGAGGAATTGGTAGCATTTTTCCAAGTCTTAAAGCAGCCTAACGTTCAGATTAAGTGAAATGGGTTAAACTGTTGTATGTAATGAGTTCAGTGTCAGTTATGGGATACTGAGAAGTGGAGGCCAAGTCATGTATGGTCAAATTCAAACATGATGCAGTGTTACATTGCTGCATGTGGTGGAGGCCAGCAGATATTTGTGTACTGCACAGTACTGTGTAAATGTTGAATTTTACCTTGCTGTGCAACTGATGTTCATGTTCATTTGCATGTTCAGTTGCAGGAGGTGGTCGCCTGTTTGAGAGGCTTTGCAAGTGGTACTATAATGCAGCTGGGTTCAACAAATATGGTAAGTGTTTCATTGAGTTTTAAAAATTGCAAATGTAACAGTTCTGAAACTAGTTATGGTTCATAGCTGGCATATGTACATGCAGGTTGGCATAAGTCCTTTTGATCAAAACTAGCTACTACTTCTGTAGCGAAAAAAGTTGACAATAACTCCAGTTATTTCTGTTATTTCCATTATTTCTGTGTTTGCTCATGTTTCAGAGAATTAACTTATAACAGCTAAGGCCAAGCTGGGGCAGTTGAAAAAGCTTTCACAAAGCAGTCCTGAAAACTCAATTATTTACATTTCCCCACTGAGTCACTTTCACTGGCCAGTGTCTTCTAACCCACAGACTGCCCTTGGAGCTGGAGAGGTTCCCACTGATAGTAGTCAGCCTATCTGCAGTGCTTATGCAGAGTATCCAAAGTGCAGAAAGGATTGTTGTAGTTGTTCTGCCCTTTGCGTCTCCATAACTTCAGCTGGCATCACTCTGGCCTGCACAGGGTGGAATAGGTGTCAAAACAGGGCTTTTTTAAGGAGAAGAGGGTCCCTAAATGGTATTGCCTTTGGTTTATTCAAAGTTCTTACTGAGTTTATTTCAACCATTTAGATGGCAAAACAGTTCCTATATGACAAGAATCTGAATATTCAGATGCTGCAATTTATTGCTCACCACAATACAAACAAATCTCTTAAAGGAAGTTAACATATCTGCCCTGGAGAAGTTAGAAAAGAATTACAAGAAAACTGTAAACAAGTAGCTTAGATCCTTCCTCCAGAGATGCAGTGCTTAATTCCTCTTTAGTTCCTCTTTTATAATGCCTGTCTGCTGAAATTCTTACTTCTGCTGCTTCTCTGGAAATGCGAGTAAAAAACTAGAGAAGCACCAAATTTAATATAGTGATTAAACTAGCAGCAGCACTCTCTGTGCCTTTGCACTAAATTACAAAATGGAATTTAAAAATATGTGACTCAAAAGAAATTTTTGTTTTATTGAGACACTACTGCCAAATCAGTCACATGAGATGAAAACATTTAACCACAAGTCAGTAGGTATGTTGTAGTAATCACCTTGGAATGCCACAGAAGTAATGTTTTGTCCTATTTTCTTAATACTGAACCTTACAGAAAGGTTGGTTGAGTTTCAAGAATCCTTTGTTTCACAGAAGGTGTGCGAGTGTGCTCAGCTTTGAGAAGTCTGGGTGTTTCTCTCTGATTTAACTTCTGATTTGGAGCTCACACACCAAGATAGAGATTTGGGTTTCCATAGCTTCGTGTAGTCAGCAGAGATCTGGTCATCATGAACAAGTTCAGAGTAAAATTCTTCAGCACTGAAAGAGTCCCATCTGTGGCTGACTGACTCTAATGGATTCAGAGCTCTCAAAAACCCTTTACCTGGACAGTCATCTTTAACAGAGATACAAAATTAAATGCACAGACATTCTCTCCTTAGATCCAGAGAAGTTTTGTTCTGTCTGTGTATATTCTCATGAAACACATTGAATCAAATACCCATTTTCCTTATTCCTCTTTAAGAAAAGGAGTGAAAAAAGTAAACGGAGTCTGTGTTAGGATTGCACATTCTCTCTGAGCAATCAGTGCCTCTCCTGGATTAGTTTGACTTTTCTTAATAATTTTGTGCTGGAAGTGTTTTGCCCAGGGTACATGTGTCACTCCTCAATCTCACTGAAGAGCGTTTATTCAGTGGCGCTGTCCGTTCTCCTTGGCGCAGGGTTAATGCGGGATGATACATTGTATGAAGATGATGATGTGAAGGAGGCACTGAAGAGACTTCCAGAGCACCTGTACAACGAGAGAGTGTTCCGCATAAAGCGAGCGCTGGACCTAAGCTTGAAACATCAGATCCTTCCCAAAGACCAGTGGGTGAAGTATGAAGAGGTATGTGCATGCAGTGTTCCCAAGGTGCAGCTCTTGAATGGCACTGCTGGGACTGGTGATGGGGATTTGCATTCTCTGGGGAGACACATTCACATGTTCTCTGTAGTGAATGAGTCAGTAGCTCATGGAATACCTCTGGAAAACACTTCTGATTGCAGTTTAAAAATCTGGTTTTCTGTTTGAATTACTAAATTTTTCTCAAGAAGACAGAAGCTTAAGCTGCACCTCAGAATCACAGCACATTGTTTGTGTTCAGACAAAATATTTCTTCTAAGCTGTTGGATAAAGAGGTACAATGTAAATAGCTTTGGAATTCTTAAAGAAGGTCTCCTGCTTTTCTGATTAATTTCTTAATCTTGCAGAAAATCTTGAGCCAAAGCTTTTATTCATGAAGGTGCCAAAGAAGAATAATATGAAGGGAAATAATGCATTAAAATAAGTGTCACCTTGTACTTTAGAAAAACAAACTGCACTTTCCTTATCAGATGTAACTAAATTTTATTTTTTGGTAATGAATTGGTTGACAGACTTCGCATCACTGTCCACTTCAGCTTTCTCCAGATTACCTGGCAGACAGGAATTTTATCGTCAAACTTTTGACTATAGGAGAGTATAAAGGTATTAATGCATCTCTGAATAAGCAGAGGCTGTTTCTTTTGGTCTTACAGGTCATATTTAGGTAGCTGCTGCTTTGAATAA